GGGGTGCTTGGGCCGTCAAGAACCATGAATTCATACATATCCTGCAGAGGAAAGTGCCGAATGGTTCGCCGATTTTGGAAGTGGGAACATCTGCGGGTTCAAGCCGAGTTCTGGATCAAACTGGTGATGAGAAGAATAATCTTGGGAAGCAAAATGGTCGATTGGTGGGGTGCTTGGGCCGTCGAGCGCCACGATGTCATACATGTCCTGCAAAGGAGAGTGCCGAATGGTTCGCTGATATTAGAAGTGCGGGTTGATTTGAGACAAAAGTATCGAGGTTTGTGCGTTCAGGCGGGAAGTTACAGCATCGTCCTGATAAACGAATCGTCTTTTAGAGCACGATACCGCGGAGGATTATTAGGGTGCTCGGGCCTTCAAGCGCCATGAAGCCGTACTTGTCCCGCAGAGGAATGTGCGAATCAGAACTTGCGGTCCTTTTTGAGTCCGCTGACCTGCGCGTTTGATTCAAGGCATCATCTCGACGTGCGGGGTTTGAGCCATCAATGTTAAGTAGACGAAAATGTCATGGAGGGCAATGCTGTGCTCGATCGCGGGGGCTGACGGATCTAGGAGTACAGGCAGAGCTACAACTGTATCGTCAGGCGCAGACATTCTTGCAGTCGCTTTCGACATCAGGACAGCTGTTCCAAGCGCCTCAGCTCACCAACTCCATACCTGGTCTGTCTAACGTTTACAGTGACCCTTCAGTGACGCGGTCTGAAGACGAGCGGATCAAGTACCCCGAAGGACGCTAGAACAACGGCCTGAGACCGCAGAAGTAGTAAGAAAACAGCCGCAGCTTCGGCGTGCACAATCCAGCTTCCCAATCACTTGGCTGGATTGGTTTTCAAAGTTTGCAAATTTTGACCAGTCCACGAGCAAATCCAAACACAGCCAATGTCAACAATCGACCCCTGTGGCCCAGACCAAGGCCAAAGCACGACTGGAAGTAACGGCTATTCTGAATGCAAAGCGAGAGGTGGTGGTGGTAACCTACATGCGCCCAGTCACCGCTTTTGAGGGGCCGGCCCTTTGGCTAGCACAATCCCTTGTCTGGAATCTAAACGCACTCAGTGCGTCCAAGAACATGCTACTCGGAAAGAAGCTTCACCAGATCCATGTGCCAGAAACCAATTATCTTTCCCTGGAGGCAGCGGTTCGGCGCGGGAAGACTTTCCGAAAATTGCATGAGCACAGACGTCGTAAACGACAGATACCAACGCTTCATGTTCCAGCCAAAGAGGGGAAACAGAAGGGAGAACCAGGCGCAGAGACCGTATCACCGGCAAAGCCTTTGAACCCTCGAACCCTAAGACCATGACAGCCTCAAACCTGTCCTTGTCCATGAAGAACCAGCCGCAGAGACCGTACGACCCTGAAAGGTCTGGGACTCCCAAACCCCAAAACCTTAACAGCCTAAAACCTCACCTTGTCCAAAACCAGGCTCAGGAACCTTACGACCTGAAAGGCCAAAAACTCTCGAACCCTAAAACTTTGACAGCCTGAAACCTCACCTTGTCCATCAGCCAGAAGGCGATAGTCTTGTCTCCCACGAGCGCCTGGTCGTGGCTCTCCGCGTATGCGACGCACTTCTCCTGGTGCCGCCGGTTGGTGAGGGTGTGAACGATGTTGCCCATGTCCCAGTCTTCGTCCCGCCTGCTGATGGAAGGACGCATGAGTACTCCTTGAGAGATTTTTGCCATCATACTTAGAACCTGATTGTCTAAGGAAATCAATCCGTTGGTCCTAGCTTAAGACACTGTCTTCAAACCATCATGGAGAAGGACTTCCACTTCTTTCGAATCGCTCACTGCCCGAGCTGGTATGCATGTGCGCAACATAACACTTATCTCAGTCCTCGTTCTGTCTAAGCTGATGACACGCTTGAGGGCTCCTCAAGAAGCTCTTGCCTCGCAATACTAAATTCTGACCCCAGAAAAACAAGGGCAAGGAAACTCGGAACACATTCATATACAGCCGGGGAAGTGGAAGGAGACAACGGCAGGGCTTCGGGCATAGCAACAGAATAGAAGGAACCAGTCTTGTCTAGAAACAAAAAGACGTCCTTCCTTTCTTTCACCTCTTTGAAGAGGCTATTCCTCGCCCATTCCCAGGCATCTGACCAGATTTTTCTGGCCTCTTTTGGAAACCAAAACATGGCAGTCCATTTCATCAGCTGTTGCTCGCGTTTCCCTCTCGCAACGGCATTGTTCCGACTCACTCTCCAAGGACTTCGATCCACTTGTCGGCCACCGCCATCTGCAGCCGGTAGTCGAAGCCCACTCCTCCCTCGGGCACGGGAACAGCAACCGTGGGCATCCCGCTAACCTGCACAATGAACCGCAGTGAAGCAGTCAGAACACAGCTTCGAAAGAACAGAGGACTTATATGTAAATACATCAGCAATTTCTACAATCACTCAGGATGGATTCAACAGATAGCGCTTCCCGTTCCACGCACATCTGATTTGTGAATACAAGGGTAGCGATGAACGATTATAGAACAGACTCTGCAGGCTCTTCAAGCGACCCTTGAGTACCTAGATAACAACACAATTCCAGGAAACAACAAAGGAACTGCGTCTCAATCTTTTCTAACGGAAGTCACGAACAGCCCAGTGGTCCAAAGGCGATCTTGTCTAGCGGACTTTTTGCTGACACACATCAAACGCGTCTGGGTGGACTACGGGGGTTTCTTGACGCTGATGAAAGCAGATTGACCTCCAAATGAGAACCGCAATTGTCAACACTGGACATCTCATGTCGACAGTTTCTGATGTTAACGCAGCAGGCTCTAGGGTTGTAGATTGTCATGTTGAACGGTATGCGTCAAAGCTGAAACCCCTGCAAACGTGCTACCAAGCCCGGGTCGGTTTCCAACAAAATGTGTAGAAACCAGGCGTTCGCTCCCTATAAGCAGCTCCTAACTAGGAAAAACTGACAAAGTCCAGTTGGACGAATAAAGCAGCTGGTGGTCGTCGATTCTGATTACTCTGAAGACTTTCTGGTGTCATCCGAACGCACAAAAAGCTCTTTGTCAACCAAGCCAAGTTTCTGGGGTAGCAAACTCCTAAAAGCCCTGAGATCCTACTAAGCATAAAACCGACCATATCTGTGATTGTGATGCAGTCCGTGTAGCGAAGACGAGGTTACGCTCCATCTTTCGTTTGGTTTTGTAGCTTCTTGTTGGCACGCGCACTTACATCTTCGGCGATGGTGATAGTGTTGGGGTAGAGTCCGTGCATCATATCGTTGGCCAACATGAGGTAGACCATAGCATCCACGTCTGTGGTCAGCCCAAAGTACTCGCCATAATTGCCCGTGAATGACATCTGCAAGAGAAAGACGACGACTCGTCGACTGTTCTTAAACGGTTGGTGCTCTATTTTTCTTCGACCTTTCGGCATCCCCGATCAGTCCCCGTACACGAAGCATTAAGAACCTGCACAATGCTCTATCAGAAGTGAGAATAGAGTACTCTCCCTGTTTTTCGTGGCACCACGTATACAGAGGCAAGGTTTGCCTCCCTTCGAAATCCAATTAAAAGGGCGACTTCACAACAGTCCGTGCACGGCCGCTGAGCTACAGCCCCTGGTTGCTCGTGATTCCCGATTGCCCCTTGCAGACACAAACCATTGCTTCAGTTCAGAGTTCCGGTTAGGGCCAATTTCCGCACAGACCGGCTTCTGTCAGGCTGCCTTCCGCTTCTGAAAAGCGACGACAGTTTTTTTGGGCATGAAACCTAGTGACTTGCCTCGATTCACAGACAACCCTTGCAAAATCAAGTAACTGTACTTCCGCAACCACAATCAACTCTGTCATATCGAGTGGGCCATATCCGAAGCGAGATGAGGCACCTTTCATCACTCCGATGGGTCTCATCAACAGATCATGATGCATCCACTTCAAGGCACGATATTCTGTTCAACATGCGGAATCGAGACACCACCTCCGACTAATCACCAATCAAAAACCCAATGACAACCATCCTGACGTATTAACCACAGGCCGTGGTGCTTTCGCCAGACTCTGCATACTACCAACAACCGAGCAAGGACGCGGACAGAGGGTCAAGCTGACGTCATACCTGGAGTCCGTGGTGAGTGTACATCATGGACGTCACCCCATCGAAGCGGAACCCGTCGAACTGGTACTCCTCCAGCCACCACCGCAGGTTGGACAGCAGGAATCGCATCACCTGAAAGTTTTAACCAGAATCAACTTTTCTGCGTGCACTTGCAAACACGAGCAGAACGCGTGTTTGCACGGGACGACTGCACTGTTGAGAGTACATCATCTCGAGCACCGCTCCTGACTGACTACTGCGATGAGCGCCCTTCTGCGCACAACTCGCTGTACTTTGTCTTCTCACGCCCGAGTTTTTGGTGGTTGAAAACGTGCGACAACACGAGCCGGGCCCTTCGAAGTGATAAAGCCCGTTCCTAACGTCAGGACTCTGCAATTCTAAAACATGAAAGTATGGACTCGTTGCGTCACCCGTTCCATTTTTCACGAGGGGCAGTACTCATAACCAGTGGTAGAGAAGTGGTGCTGAGTCAGGTCCGTCGTACTGATACAAGCCACCGGGCAAAAAAACCAGAAATAAAGAAATGCAGAAGCAGCTTCTCACCTCCCAATTGCCATAGTTGAAGAGGCGCGAATCCCACATCCAGTGGTAACCCCGCGCCCCCCAGTGGAAGTAGTGCGCATTAGGCCATCACTGCAAACCCGTGAGACCCCAAAATAGTGTTAAATGAGAATTTCTCACCTCCCAGTTGCCGTAGTTGAACAGACGGGAATCCCACATCCAGTGGTAGCCCCGCGCCCCAGAGTGGAAGTAGTGGGAGTCGGTCCCGTCGAACTGGTTCAGGCCGTCGAGCACGTTGTTGGACGCGTGGGAATGCACTACGTCCATCAGGACGACGATACCGAGCTCGTGCGCGCGGTCGATGAGCGACTTCAGGTCGTCGGGCGTGCCGCAGCGGGAGGACACAGCAAAGAAGTTGGTCACGTGGTACCTGCGAAGATGACGTTGTGCTATGAGAGATTGGTCAGAATAGATCTGAGGGCGTTGGCATCTGAAATTTTGTGTTCTGAGGAGGTTTTCGTCCAAAGTTGCCAAGCTCGTGCGTGTGGTTGGTGAGCCACTTGAGGTCGTCGGGTGTGCTGCATTGGGACAACACCGCACAGAAGTTGGTCACGTGGTGTCTGAAATTTGAAACAGATTCTGATCTGAATATTTGGAAGTTTGAGCTTTGGCACGAAGATTCGCGATGTCGCTCTTGATTTGTGAGACACTTCAAGGGGTTCTGAGCTTGGACTGGGGCAGACGCATCTAGAGCGGAGGAGCGTTAGGTCCTTGGAGTGCCGCAGCGATGGAACTTTACAAGGGACAGAATTCAAGTTTTCTTTAAGCATTCGCGCTTCAAAAAACTGGCAGCTGAAGTGCGTTTCCTTCCCCTTTGCAGCGCACAGTGCTTTGCAACAGTGGAAACTTCGAAGGAGAGGGGAGGGTTACAGAACTAGAGCCGACATCAACCTCAGTTAAAGGTGCCGGGACAAGCGTTGTCCAGAAGTCGAAACAGTCACAAAAATCCTGATACGACGAGGCCTGCAGAATGGGAGCCGCAGACTTCGACTTCATCTGAAGCTGCCGCAGTATGGATCGTCCAGAACTCTAACGAGTCAGCAAACATCCGAATTGACTAGGCCCGCAGAACCAGAGCCACGAAATGCCATTACTGCCGAAGTAAACGTGCACCTTGATTTAGCAAGCCGAAGAGATCTGCGGAAAAACAAAACCCACGAACGTAAAGCGGCGGGGTTTGACCTCACCCGAAGCTGCCGTAGTATGCGTGCTCCTGAATGGCCATCAACTGGACCGCGTTGTACCCCAAGGCCTTGATGCGCGGCAACACGTCGTCCCGGAACTCTGCGTACGAGTTGATCTTGGGCTCGATGCTGCTCATCCCGACGTGCGCCTCGTAGATGCGGAGGCTGTTGGGGCGGGCGGGCTTCCCGTGCTTGAACTTGTACAACTCCTGCGGAAAGAGGTGGTAAGAGCGTTTGGAAGTGTTGCCAGTGATAGGGAAAAGGGGTGGATTATAAAACAGAACTTTAGGGTAGCTGTCAAGTCAGGCGGGCGTTTTGTGCTTAAACACGCACTTTGCCTGCGGGGAGAAAACGTAAGAGCACGTAAACTACGTTTGGGCAATCAGGAGGGATCGTTTGGGTTTCGAACTGCGGAGACACAGCTTCTTGCGGGACCAGGCCCGCTTGCTTTGTGTGGCTAAGCACGTGCGTTTCCTGGAGCAAAGGGACGAGGAACGATGACAACAGGCTGAAGATTCACTATACGAGGCTGCTAGGTTGATAAAACGAGTCCTGCTAACTGCTAGGCCCTGCAGGAGAATGTTTCGCAACATCCTCCCGACGAGTCAAAAAGTATGACAAAAGGCAGGAGAAATAAACTGTCCATTATTCGCAGAGTGCCGCAACAAATCCGCGTGCTCTTGCTTTATCAAACAGAAACGCAATTGGCATGACCAGCGCTCCACAACGCTTCTCAAATTCGTCACTTTGGGAGACTATAATTCTCGTCTGGTCTCATTTGTTTTCTTTGAACACTGTTATCCGCCTATGAAAACGTTCTGAAGCAGCTTGTCACCAAAATTGCACATTCACACACTTATCGATCTGACAATCGCCGACAAGATTGTGCACGGTTACGGCCCCCGCGGTCCCTTCTAGACTGTGTATTCTGTGGGCTTCATCGAAAACTCCTTGCATCAAAGCGTAGGCACAAAGAAAAGACAGGTTTCAGACCTCCATTCAAGGCAAAGCGCGGGTTGATTGAGGAGCTTACCTCCTCTGGCGGGTCGTAGTAGATCCCGTTGTACGGAATCTCCCCTGGGGCTTGCACCGCAAACTTGATCCAAGCCGGGATGGAGTCTTTCCAGCCCGAAGGAGTGTCCATGTGGATCTGCAGAAGCCAACGGATAGGGTAGAAAGGGGATGAAAGCAAATAAACACCCTGTGGCATCAATGACAAATAAGGCTTTACCCTTGCCGTTTGATGCTCCTAGGTCCACTACTCCGCTTGGAAACAAGTTGCCCTTTCTTCGTAATCAGGGACGCAAGTCTTACTGACTCGACAAATGCGTGGGCTCTTGATCCGACTCCGATTTCCCCAACCCTTGCAGCTCCCAGCATTTCCAGTCAGGCAATAAATCAGCGCTTTTGAAAACCAGACAGCTCAGACGATCAGTCCGCTTCCACCCCCTCACCTTCACACGGGACCCGTGCGGGATCGCAGGGGACCCGTCCGCATTGTCCGGCAGCGTGATCTCAAACACGCCAAACTCGTTCTTGGTCATGACGTCAGCGTTCGTGTTCCAGTTGTTGAAATCTCCAATCAGGGACGCCCACTTGGCGCCTGGGGCCCACTCCCGATAGGTGATGCCTTTCCCGGAGCGCGTGAAGCCGAGCTTCTCGTACCCCCGGGAGAACGCCTCGAGCCCGCCCTCGTACTTTTCGATCTCACCGCGCCACTTCTTGTACTGGCCGTACCTAGAACCGATACACATGCACGTCAGCAAAATGTATGATAACTCATTAGGCATTGCTCTCAAGAGACGGGGGAGTAATGGATACTTATCGTCGTCGGAAGTCGAAGGTGCCAGAGCGCCTTTGGTAATTCTGGCAGGCCAACTTATTGGCCTTACATAGATACACAAATAAATCCGAATCGAAAAGCCCCGCACATTTGTCAGACCGGCCGGTCGAAAGCAGGCCAGTCGGGTATCTTGCTTCATTATGACCCCAAACATGCCAAATCTTACATCAGGGACGCAGTAGCCTCCAGGCGCCTGCACCTCGTGTAACCGCTGATCTGTCCCTCCCAAACGATATCCTAGTTTACAACCCAAGACATAGATTAAAGATTCTGGACTTGCACAAACCTGCCCTGGAGGGCGTCCCTGCTCAACACAGATAACTTCCCTCGTACTTGCTTGCCCCCTGCTAATGTCACCACCGGTGTGCGCTCACAGATTCTGTGGGTCGCTGACGAGCCCAAGTTACAAGTCAGGCTCACCTGTACTCCAGGTGATCTCTGTACGGCTCTAGGAAGGGGTCCTGCTTGTAGATTTCCTGGCCCTCCCCAGGGGGTGGCATCACAGAGGGGGCCGCCATTGGACCCGCCTCGCCCGTAACCTTCACCCTCAGCTTGGCATTCTCCTGCTTCAGCGAATCGATCTCCCGCTCGATGCGTGCGGTCTCGCTCTCGAGGTCCGCGACGGCGGCGTCATCCCCTTGCAGAGTCTCTAACTTCTGCAGTCAAAACAGGTCAGAAAAGGGTTAGGAACCGGGCAACGATGCCTAATCTTCGGTTCAGGGCTTTCAGAAGTTGGCCGACTCCTTGGAAAGAGCGTTCTCGAGATCCTCAACAGAGGCGTCGTCCTCATGGAGAATATCAAACTTCTGCAGAACACAAAAGATTAGTGGCGGGCTAGGAATCAGTGAAGAATAGCTTGATGTTGCGTTTAGCGGGCTCCCGTGCACAGCGGCACCCTCATGGAGCTCTTCACGCTTTTCCACTTTCTGGACAAGTTTGACCAAGGGTAAGGATTGGAGACGCCCAGTAGAAAGGGGTCAGAAAGATGGTATAAAAGGCCCAATGAAGGGTAGAGCGCTCTCAAGGCCATTGCCAGGGGGCGGTTGGTTAACAGCGGCTCTCTACACCAACGAATTCAAAATCAAAGCCTGTGTAAGGGTGAAAAAACAACGGAGCTTGGCACGGGTTCCCTCTACAAACTTTGGCCCAGAATGGTCCTCATTCACAAGCTTCCTCTACTTATATTGCAAGGTGTGGCAGTGGCGCAGAACCGGGTTATATTCGTGAAGCATGGGTTAGCTGAAAGATCTTAGCACTGGATCGCCCTCGCTCTTGAGGTTGCACCTAACCTGGAACAACTCTCCAACTTTTGCTATCGGCAATCGTTCCAGCAAAGCTACGGGAGCATTTTGGTAAATCAACCTCAGCTTCCGAGTTTTGGTGTTTCTCAAGGTGCTCAAAAAGAGGCGCGCTCTTCGACAAAGAGTCTGGCTTCCACGTTCGAAAAGGTCAGGAAACGGTCTAAGACGGATCACGCACAGGCCTCGTCAACTCCCAGAGCCTGAAGGAGGCGGCCAGCTCTCTTGCTTCAATGTTGAGAGCATGGTACAGCGGGCTCAGTGGTTGTTTTGATTTGAGGGTCACCAAGCGCAGATCTACTTTATCAAATACTTGGAACCCCCTCCTAGATACCCTAAACGTGCCACATTGCGACAACCACCATTACGCCTCTCAGCAGCCAGTAGCATTTTTTGTTCGCGATGCATCATTCGCTCCTTATTGAAGTTCGGAGAGTTCCCACTGAGATTTAGAAGCAGAGTTCTTGATTTCTGCTCCCTCCGTCTGTCTTTGTGCCCTGATACGGATGACTGTCAAAATCGTGCTGCGCTTGAACAGCAAAACACTCGAGCGGTTCCTGCAACGATGTTTGACTACCTTTGATGCACGCTTTCAGCCCCATCAGAAGCAGCGGCGACTATATAAATGATTCAGACTGCTCCAGCTGAAATTCGGAAGTTTTGCAAATGACTCAGTTTGCTCCGACCTTAACTTAGGATTTTGGCAACTTTGATTACCTCCTCAGAAGCCTTGATGGTCTCTTTAAGATCCTTGGCCGCTTTGGCTGCATCAGTGACTTTCGTCCTTGACACCTGAGCCCGCGCCCCTTGCCTCGCTGCATTCTTCCCCGCCTTTGTGCGCTTCGCGAGAGGTTTGAGGGACTCGTTCTGACAGGCGAAGGTATCTGTGCGCAGATGGTTGTGGTGTCAGAGATCTGGATGCTTGCGACGATTCGGACCGCAATTTTTACCATGTGATGACCAGACTTGCGAGATTGAAGTCCTTACAGAATGAGCGCAGAGTACAAGTCGCTTTAAAAAGCTGGGCGAAATACAGGGTCACGCAAAGAATGTCAGTATCAAAAAACCCTAGAGATGAGTTCATGACTTGGAATAGTAAGAAAAAGCTCTTCTAAGTCCTGCCAGGAATGTGTCATCTTTGATAGGACTTTCTCTTGGGGTGCCAGTGCGTCTTTCTCACCGGAATCGTCACAATGCAAGTAAGCGGACCCAAGTGACGTACCTTCAAATCTACAAAAATCTACAGTTGACGGTGTTTTGCTCAGAAAAATGCCCTAGGATGCTGAAAGGCTCAGGAATCCAAGCGGAATTCCAAGGGTTTGAGGATTGGCTGAGCACTCCTAAAGGCAGTTGTCCATTGACATGGAAGATACTTGAGTGACTGCTTTCCGCAACTTTGCAGTTGATTCAATGGACAAGAGAGGTTTACAACAGCCAATGTGTGCAATTGTCTGGATGGCATGTCAAAAGACAAGAGATTGATGTACGCAAGAACATGGTCAGGGGAACAGGCACAGCAAAGCAGGCAAGAATAAAATATTCGCAATAGCCTGGCGATCTGCAACCAGATCTGAGGTAAATTAGAGTTTGGACGACATCACATGTTAAACCTTTCATTGATTCTCACAAGCTATGATACTGCTCAAGCGAGTCAATCAAGCCCCGGACACGAAAGCGCCAAAGATTACATCGTCCTTCTATGTGGTCCGAATCAGCAGCCCTTACGTATTTCCAGGCACGTTCTCATGCACGTAATATCAACCGAATCCAGCTCCATTGAGTCGTGTAGCAACCCCGGAGAGGTTACTCATTGAGGTTGATCAGAGATACTTGAGCACAAGCTAACTGAATCAAGGCATGGAAACACTGAAGCAGAAATAAAGTGACTCTGGCCATGAAATATTACTTACTCGACCATGCCACGTGTTCAGGTCTGTGAAGGGAGACCGGGATCGAACAAACGGGTCCGCAATGCAGCCTATCTACTCCACTAGTCCTCGTGAGTTCGGACCACCTGCCTCCCAATTGCACCACCCGGCTTGTTGCCATCTTGTTCCACTTAGATGTATCTAAAGTTGGCGGGTCTACGACCAATCGGATCTAGCCTGGGACATTCTTCTCAACGCGAGCAAGGCCTCCCTAGCTGTCCCCTCTACCACATTCCAAATCTGTAAAAGCCTCAAAGCATGGGGAGATCTGGAATCAACGCAAACGCTGTGGATATTTTCACGTCTGTGCAAGAAGCTGATTCCTCGCTGAATCTTAAGATTGCGATGCATGCGAACAGGAAGGTTTGCACACCAGCAGTGGAGACTGTGTAAACCAAAAGTTTCCGAGCAGCCCCTGGGCCCGGTAAAGCTCAGCAGCTTCGAATGAAAAGGCCACTGAAGCCGTCAAATGGTTATCGACACGAAACTTGGATGGTACAGATCTAAGTTGAGTCACAGACCATGTAGCAGCCCCCATGGGAGCCGGAGCGTCAACCTTTCAGTGGTCAGACCTTGACCCGGCGACGGTTTGGTTAGCATGGGCCATAAAGAGCGGCCGCGCAACACTCCACTGTGCGGCCGCGAGGAACCCCTGCGCGGGTTATGCAGAGCGTAGCTAGCCTTGCGCGGTTGGGCCGGCCGCGGCGGGCCGGCGGCGCGCGGCAAATAGCTATATAGACCATGCGCTGGCAGGAGTCGCTAGTCGCCAGATCTCGCGTACATGGCCGTCTAGCTGCAGCTCAGGCGTATAAAGTTGAACTTCACTTGAAGCTATGCAGTACTGGCAGGCTGGCATGCTAAGCGCCGGTATCATCATGCACATTGCATACAGATATGATATTGGTGACTTCGCCAGTCTTGTACAAGAAATTGGGTCGCCTGCATCGGGCGCTTGCATCAGAGTTTAGAGTCAATTCTACATTAAGCGAGCCGCGCCGCCTTGTAAATAGGATAAGAACGCCTTCGATCGTACTGCCAATTAGTGGTCGATCATTCCTCTTGGATGCCGTGGCCGTACATGAGGCCGTGTACTGTCGCAACCAATAACAGCATTCCACGGACCCGCGGCAGTGAATCGTTGAGCTATACCAGCTGACCCGCATGCATACCGCGCGCCACGTCTGCTTGGTGACGCATTTTCGTTTCGCTGTCATTCTTCAAGCGAAGGCCGTCCTTGTGCGGCGCGGGGTGTGCACTTTTCTGTTCTCAATAACGTACTGACTTCTAATTGGAAATTATGATGTCTGTCACACGGTTTCAGCCGTTGTCGGTACGTGACAAGTACACGTGGATGATTGAGCGGTTGCGTTTTATCGAACTACTTTTCCGGGGTGTACTTGGCCGCTGCCCCTATGATTCCGACACAAGCATCACCCTGATCCACGCAAGGCTGATAGGAGGGAGAAAAGCTATGACAGTTCCTAATTGGAGGTTGAACCAGGCCAAACGCGTATGCCAGATTCCAGCAGCTACCTGACGAAACGTCCGTTTTACCATGAATTAATGTACAAACCCTTTTAGCACCACCGCAAATATACAAATACTGTAAACCTACAATAAGGCGTATCAATTTATAAGGCTTTCTCAGCGAAAGCTCTCAAGTAATCAACTCGTGCACCTTTTCCGCAATGACGCTCGGCTTGGCGGGCTTGAACAGCACTCCGTTCATCCCGGCGCTGGAGCAAGCCTCGTGAAGCTCCTCGGTGCTTGCATTGGCTGTATACGCAATGATGACTGTACTCCGACCTCCCAGGGGTTGTTCGAGCTCACGGATGAGACGGGTCGCCGCATATCCGTCGAGAATCGGCATCTGCATTTGATAAGGAGTAGACGCTCAGCCCCAGCAGCAACCACATAACCCTGGCAAGATCTTGCACTGATCCCCACCGATAAGTCAGAAGCTTTGACTTCGCACCTCCTTCTAGCAAGCAACAAGATGTGATCGGCTTTGGAATACGGCGTTCGAGCTCGGCTTGGTCTTGCAAAGCTGATGGCAGTTCAAGTGTGACCGCACTGATCGCCTGGGAGTTTGCTCCGGCCAAACGGAGATCTCCGATTATGGATTGAATGTAAGGTCTCAGATTCTGGACCGCATCCAGATGCCCGATTTGTGTGTAAGATGATCATTAGAAAAGCGCCCTAAAAGAAGGGAACATTGACTAGCTTCCCCCTCAAAGCAACAGGAAAGTGCTTGGCCTCAATACGGAACAGAAAGAGACATTTAGAAAAAGGGAAAACTGTGCTAAGCATGGTTGGAGGCAGGGCAGAATCCTTCCAGGGTACGAAACCGATTGAATTCGAAAGTGCAGGTTGCATAAACCGATAAATGGAGCGAATCCAAAGATCTTTCCCTATTTGCCGAATCCTCGGTTCTCGAGGAGAAAACGTAGAATGCAAGCTCGCAGAAGTGCGCTAGCTGAAGAGGAACGAGTTCCAAAGTAGAGAACGTTTTTCACCCACCGGCTTCGCCAAGAAAACAAAGCTTTTATACACAAGGAACTCTGACAACTGACCTCGATATCCATCAATACGAAGTCGACCCGCGCGCGCGCGGCCGGCGCCGCTCCGAGCGCGCTCAGCCGCAGCGCGTTGACGCTCTCCATCCCGTCGCAACACAGCTCCACGCGCGCGCCCAACTTTTCGAGCGCGCGCTTTGCAGCCACGCGCAGGAACTGGTTGTCGTCCACCACGAGTGCGCGCATCCCGTCCAGCGGAGGCCGGGGGGGTCCGTTCGCGGGCTCAACGGAGGGGGGGTGGGGAATGATCCGGGACTTTGACCCCCCTATCGGGGATATGACTTCGATTCTCACAAGATTCCCCGGGATCACCTCTGGCAATTTAAGCCGTCCTGTAGCAAGCCCTCGAGTGGATTGGCGCTCACTTTGTACATTTTCTGCGTCCGTATTCGAAGTAAGCCCGTCCGAGACTAGTGTTTGATTGATGGTAATAGGCTCCGAGATGAGGCTTTCGACGAGGCGTTTAAGTTTGGAGGGGTAGAATGGAAGGTAGACTATGTCCGCAAAGCCGTGATCTTTCAAGACTTGACAAACGGTGGGAGGGGTATCCTTTTCGGCGACGAAAACAATTCGTACTTGGCGCTGGTGTTCGCCTGCACAGAACAAGCGAGGTCTGTTCAGCTGTGCATCGCAGTGGACATGACGTTCACTGATGAAGAAACAACAACTCATCCGGTTGAATAACAGGAGTTGTTTGAAGGAAGCAGGAGGCGCCAGATGCAATGTCTCCTTGCGAAGATGAACGGCGAGCCGACTCTACCCACACTGAGGAAAGAGATTTGAAAGAAACAACAAGCCAGTCATCGCAAGATTCACGAGTCGAAGCGAACGGAATGAGAAGACCAAGGGATCCAAACCAGTACAAACTCAAAAGCAAACCTCTCCGCAACTCATTTCTTTCCGGTGTGACTACGAAGAGCTCATCCTATTCGATAACCTCATGAATAGTCATATCGAGCGTCCACCAATGAAGTCACTTACCGGCATCGCCCGTCAGCGTCGCTTCCTGTAGCCGCTCGAGTTCTCGCTCTAGTTGTTCTAGTTGTTGTAGGTCGCCCAATTCGCCCAGCAACGACAACTCAATAACCGCACAGTTAATCTGCTCTTCGTCTTCACAGGACGTCACCCCTTGGCTGTGATCGGCGGCAACTCCTCTGTGAAACCCTTGCAACGGGGGCCCTGTCTCAAACCTGGGCTCCGCCGGCTCCGTTGACGGCTCAGCGAAGGCGCTTGCAACCGGAACGGACTCACTCGGAGAGTAGCGGAGGCGAGCGAGCTCCTGGATGGCGCTCAGGGCGTCTTCCCAGGCCGCCACGTGGCAGACGCTCGCTCCGCGAGCGCGCAACTTTCTCAAAACTAGTTCTCGCGTCTGCAACGGCCGCATCGCGAGCACCACATCCAATCTTGCCCAATGATTTGCACCGGTTTCACTAACCGTTTCCGCTCTACCGGAGTTTTCCAGCGCAACGTCAAACCGGACAAGGCACCCGGGCCCGGGCTTATCAGCGAAAGCCACGTGTCCTCCCATCAAGCCCACGAGCTTCTTCACAATCCCCAGCCCTAGCCCGGTGCCTCCGTGCGCCTGTGACGTGGCCGCCCCGTCCGCCTGTGCGTAGTCCATAAAGATGACGTCACGCTTTTCGGGGCTGACGCCGCACCCGGTGTCTTCGACCTCGAGAAGGAGCCGGGTTAGGGTTGCGGTCGGGGTATCGGTTAAGGGGGTAACCGAGGAAGGGGACCGCTGGAAGGGTACCGGTGGAAGGTTTCCCGGTGGAGAAGGGGCTTGGGGAAAATTGACCGCAGGAAGATCCACCGGTCGTGACTCGTCCGGAGGCGCCAAAGAGCACCTGACGCGAATGAAGCCGTCCTGCAGAAAAGAGTATTTCCTTCGAATGGAACCGAATCCCGGATCTATAGTAAAAGGGTCGCTGGAGCCGCACTTCGCATGTTGCGTATTGGCTCCGGTCGTATGCTGAGAGCTAAATCAACTTTGTTACTTGGGAGACACAGGGCGAAGTAAGTCCTTCTTCAGAATCTTGAAGCCGACCTTTGAACGTGCGACATTCTATCTGGAACAGAAGTCAGGCCAAGCTCTTTTGCTCTCCCCAAATCTGGAAGATATGCTCTGATAGTCGGAGGGTAGCCAAAACGATTGCTGAATCCGCTGCATTCGACGACTTCACAGGACACCAAAGTATCAGCCACTTTGACAATCATTCAGAGCGAGAAAGTGAGGAACTTCTCGCAACCTGCCCTGATTCAACTTGGCTTCTGTCATATTTTCCGATCCATACTTCGACGAGAGTAACCATTGCAATTGCGCGACGTGGCCGCATTGAAATCTGCCGGTCTGAATCCGACGAGGTGAGCAAAATACATTTAGTCTCTACGATCGTGGGAACTAAAGCTGTTTGCGGGAGCTTTATACGCTGACGTGTCCATGAAGTGTGTGCAATGTTTATCGAATGGTTGATTGAAATTTTTCTTACCGAGGACCTTCAGATGAGCGTGCTACTGTATCAGCTAAACCTGTAGGGCAGTGCGTACCGCATTGGGCTGAGTGTTAATCACGCCTGTGGTGAATCCAACGAGTTAAAACCCGGTAATGAAAAAAGCTGGGGAGCCCTTACCTTGGTGAACTTCACACTGTTGCTCAGAAGGTTGGAGACGACCTGCCGAAAGCGCAGCGCGTCGCCTAGGAGCGTTCGAGGCACAGCGTCTGCATGCAAGAATTCGGCTGATTAGTATATTCCTGCAAAATGGCAGAACTTTCGTTTCAATATTGAGACTAACGTCAGAGACAGGTCGGAGGCTTCAGAAGTTGAAGCGCTTTCGGGAGCTTTCTCAATCAAGTAGCGCCATGTCCTTCTACAAATGTTCAAAATACGCCCGACGCCTAACAACCACCTTTTCCAACGTTCAGTTAGCGTCATTAAACAAAGGCTCTAGGCTCTTTTTTTAATTCCACTGGTCCAGAACGCTTCCACTTTCCGTAGGCGGGGAAGTCCTGGGCGGTTTTCCTTATGCTGGCTCGAAGACACACCAGAGATTCCTCTGAGCTCCAGTGTATTCGTCCATACTTTTCGACATCGTCCAGAGTTAGTCCCTATGCTTAATTGCACGCCTCTGTCGATGCTCAACCCCTGGAAGTCATTGAAGGTACAATCGTTTCCAGACTACGTCTACGCCTCTTCATTCAAGTCGGACTACTGAGAAAGTTTGCTACACGAGAGATACACTGCATGAAGTCCCGTCACATGTCCCGGCAGTTCAACAAGAAACAAACCGCGGGGGAACAGTTTTAACAAAAGACGTTTACCTCCGAGATCCGGGGACCTTCACTCAAACCGCAAAAAGAAGCTACGTTTGAACTTCAATTTCGCCATACCGTAGGCCAGTATACATTTCCCTACAATGAATCTTTTTGGACATCGGAGGGATGCGAAAATTGAATTTGAAAGGTGCAGTAAGCTGCTCGGGGCTGCTCCTTACCTTGAACTTCGAGCAATATCTCTAATCCCTTCTTGGCGCATGTGACCCCGTAGAGTTCCACCAGCGTCTCAAGCTGCTCCACCGGATCGAAGAGGGCCTTGTCCAACGACATTTTGCCGGCCTCAATCTTCAAGAAACGTAGGAATGCCAAGAATCAGTTTCAGAATCTGGCACTTTGTAGGTTTGATCCTGGGCTCTTGAAGTTCTTGGGAGTCGAGTTCGTTGTTTGGTCAAAGAAAGACATGCCCAGAGACGGTACCTGACGTCGTCGAATCGACTCGAATCCGGTATTACCTGTCGATTAGACTCGGTTGGGCAGCGAATTTTACAGAGAACCCGGAGCTCTGACGCAGAGCCAAGGAGATTGATAGCTTAGATACAGTCCTAGATTCTTGTGTTCGGAAGGATTGGAGATATGCTGGGTTAAAACCAACCTTTTCAGGAATTGTACAAGCACATGAAGGACGTTCAGTCCTTTTTATGTGTTCTCACCCTGCTGAAGAAGATTTCACCCTGCCGAAGTACAGACACTTTCTTACAAAGACCAGATTCTGAACGCCTAGGGCGTCCTCTACAGAGTCATTTCAAGGCTCCGTAAACGGACTTACCTTGCTGAAGTCTAGAACCTCGTTGAGGAGGTCGAGCTGCTGCAGCGCGCACTCCTTGACTTGCTTTACTTGCTCGCTCTGTTCCGACGACAGGTTTGTTTCCAGAACCATGTCGAGGAGACCGACCATTGCCGCAGACGGGTTTCTCAAGTCGTGGCTGCAAGAGAACTGCATCATGTTCAAGGTAGGGCAGTCGCTCACAAGGCGTGCGGGCACACATATTCTTCGGGTTGGAGACGCAACGGCTGAGAACTTAAATTCCGCTCCATGGGTTAGAGTCATTGTCTGGAACGTAACCAGAAGGATATTCAGAGTGCAGAAAGTCGAAAGAGCGTGGCTGTACAACCGGTTATCCGCACTGAAAACGTGAACAATAGCAATCTGGATCGCCACATAGACTGCACCTGATTATTCCAAGGAAACGCAGCTGGTCTTTTATTTCGATCTGCTCATTCACGCGATCTCTGCAAAATCTTGACCTAAAAAGCTACACCAAAGCCGCCAAGGAAGTCCGCACTGCCTGGCCGCAAAATAGTTTAGAGCACTGAAGTTTTCCTCCGTTTGATATCCGAGTGTGCAGGAACCAAATCTACAGGGGGACGGCGACGCGCAAAACACAAGGGATTGAAATGCAAACAAGATTCCGCGGAAGTTTTCGGCTCTGATGCTTACCTAATGGTCGCGAGAAACTTGGTCTTGAACGCGTCCCGCGTCTCCGCACGCCGCTTGGCCTCCAGGTTCTCGATTACTTGCGCCTTAAGCCGCATCTCCTTGCTGATTGGATCGGTGAAGAGTACGATCAGAGTGCACCCGACAATCAAGAACGCGATAGTCGTCACCATGATGATGACTTTCATGTGCCGCGCGTTCGAGTCGATCTGCCCCATAACCGCGCCACGTGGCATCACCAGGGTGCCCCAGAACGTTATCCCACGGATCGACACCGGCTTCGTCTGGATGTAGTACTTCGACCCGCCCAGGCTGACGTCACCCTGGCAGCTCAGCGCCGCCGTCGTCCCGTTCCGTCCGTTCGATCCGCTCACGGCTGCGACGTAGGCGTCCGCCTGCCGGATGACGTCACTGCTCGACTCGTTCGGCCGTATCAGCGCTGCGCGGGCGTCAGCGGAAGCCCCCTGGGAGTCCGCCACTATGTGCGTCCCGTTCGTGAAGTACATCAGACCGCGCCGAAGGTTGAACGTCTCTAGAAACTTGGTGATCGTATCCAAGTAAAAGTAGAGCGCGACAACGCCCACAACTTCGCCCGTGCTTTCGAGAGTAACCCGCTGGCCGAGAACTAGAGTGGGCCTCCCCGACAGCGCCTCTATGCGAATCTCACTTCCGAACCCGTCCGCTGACGTCAGCGCCTGGCGGTACCAGGCCCGTTGGCGGAAGTCTAACGGATCCAGGGCCACGATGCTGGACACGCCGTACAGAGGAGACGCCGTCGTTTTGTTGAGAACCTGGAGAGAATATATGTTGGTCAAGAGAAGAAAGCGCATCAAAACGGCAGGAAAAGTCCCAGTTGGTCCGAAAAGTTGCATCGGAGTGGCTCAGCTAAGAGGATTTGTATTAGGCGGAAAAGTGCGTAAACAGCCACCAAGCGGTGCGCGCGAAGTACGGTGGAAGAGACGCTGTTGTGAGGGACCTCGTTAGACCGGTCAGTGTTGGCCCGTTTTGCGTTTTATTACAAAGGGATACCACTTAGACGGAGTACTCAGATCGACGGCCACGATGCTTCTGCATGGCAAAGAAGAAACGCTTAGCGTCTGGTGAAAGATGTAGAGTCAATAACACAGTCCGGCCTAAAGATGGGCTATTTTGCTTCGTCAGTGCCAAACACTAGTCGCTCCGATTCTTGTTTTTTTGGCTCCTGCAGGAGAGACAGCATCGTCATGCCTTCTGATGCAGTCCACAAAACAGACACTTTGTCCCTTTTTAACAGCTGGTACGGAGTGAGAAAACCGGTAAATAGGGCAGCGGCCCCTCAAACGACGGAACGGAAACGGTCAAAAGTGGTTCTTCAGCCAGCCAACAAGCTTGACACTCTGGTTTCATCCTTCACGAAGCACACACAGATAGAGAAGACGATTTGTCCTTTTTGTGCTTTGAAAACACCTAAGCGGACCAGACGTATCCTCGGTCGACAAAGAAGTGGCAGCTGAGTTGATGCTCAAGCACTCTCGAACGATATGAGAAGGACTGCCGAAGGAAACCTACCGCGTAGAAGCGAGGCAACGGTTCTCCTTCAGGGACGGTGCGGTTGGAGAAAACCAGCAGCAGCGTCTCGTTTGCGAGAGGTTTGCTTGTGTTCGACGGAGTATAAAGGATGCTATACCTGTACGACAAAGAAATTTAAGAAAGTCAAATTTGGGACTTTTAAAGGAGGGTAGGTTAGCACATTGGAGCTCAGGTAGTTCCGCTTACGCCCTATCTTTCGAGAGCGAAGAGAGGAAGTGGTGCTTCTTCCACCGGACAAAGGAGGGGCAACTTTGCAAAAGATAAGATACACAAGTTTTTTGAATAGGAGAAGAAAACTACGGCTTCACAAGAAGGGGGTCGGAATCGTAGGGATGGCTCGAAAAACGACGTACATAGAACGGGCCTGTCTAGCAAGCCTGTCTAGCAACCCGTATGAGCGACTGATCAGGGCACCGCAGCACCTAATAGTCGAAGCATCGGCGACTGTGTTGTCCTCTGAACTAAAACAGCTAGAAAGACAGACGCCTCACTCCGGAAGCCGATCTTCTGGACAATCCGCAGATCTTCCAGGGTTCAGCACCCAGCCGTACGTTACAAAAAACTTGAAAAAAAAGGCTTCTCACCTCCCATTCTGGCGAACCACCCCGACTCCATTCACGGCCACGCAGTTTCTGATGGTCGTTAGCGTCGATTGATACACCTGGATGGTAAAATTTGCCTGATTTGAGATTCGAAGCTGGCTGCGGCTGATCTTCAGAGATGAAATACGTATGGTCTGGCGGATGCGACGCTTCTCAGAGTGCTTCGACGCTCTTTGCCCTTGCTGCAACAGCAGATGTTAAGCAACATTGCGTTTGTCTGTTTCCTTGATTAGTCCGTAAGGGACCCTGTGCATGAACAAGAAGTCGGGGCTTCCCCCGGATCCCTTTCCACCTCACCTTTTCCAGCAGTCCGCTGCAGAATTCCGTTTGAGGATAAGCAGACGCGAATCCAACACAAAAGCTTTTGTGGATAGCAAAAACCTGTCAAGATTAAAGTAAGCGTCGTACAAACCAAGGAGAAATCGCTTTGCAAACGCTGGTAAGAAAGAGCTTTCGACGAACAACAAGTTTCGCACACGATAATTCCCTAAAAGAGCCGGGATTTTGGAAGCCAAGCTAGAAGGCACATGAAAAGATAGTAAAAAAGATCCGCACAATGTTCTGGCGCGCGACCAGCGTTTCGTTCACGGCCAACTGGTTGATCAGCGCGACGTTTCCTGCAAGCGTGCGCATGCACGTGTCCGCCTCGTGGAAGAGTCCCATGAAGTTGTCCGAACCGCGGTCCAAAAGCTCCTGTCCGAGGCCGCACGCCAAGTCCGCAACCGAGCTCGATGCGGACCGGGTCGTGAGGACGAAGGTCAGGGCGGCACTACCGGAAAGGAGCACCGCAAACAGAACCTGAGGAGCACAAGAAGGTTAGGATTCAGATCTTGCAGCTTGCAATGTTTCGAGACCTTATGTGACGTTGAAAAGTTGGAGCTACAGGTCATCATCGATCCTGAGGCAATGACAGAAGAAGGGAGACAAGCAGAGCGTTATAGCTCATGTACCAGCAGTATCACAAACTTTGATACGTGAGACAGTAACTGTCTCGGTTGTGAAGGGAGTTTGGCCATCGATACATCCTTACAGAGCCTGCTTTGCTTGATTGGTTTCGTTATTTTCATTTCTGTAGCAAACTCTAACCCTGCACGTATTAGTGGTTCTGGAAATTGAGGTCATCATGTGCACTCATGGAAATCTGCACTGCACTTTGCGTGTGCAGCAAATGACTTCATAGGAGCCAACTCGGCAATACTCAGCAGGAGCTCGAAAAGCACAACCTGCAAGAATATGTTCGAAGGTCTTGGGAGGCAACGGTTTTGAACAAGAATATCCTGCCAAGAGCGGAAAGATGCAGAATCAGCACAAAGAGGGATTTCAAAGTCTTCACAAACTGCAATGCTAGCGCAGAAATTGCAGATACGTCCCTAAGCATCACCAGCAGCTCACGTCAAAGCTGACTCTCCTAGGGCTTGCTGGTCTGTGGACTAGTTCAGGAACCGCTTCATTACGCAAAGACATTTCAGATCTCGTGAGGTGGTGCTAGAATAATGGAGAAAAATCTGAATGCCAAGGAAATTAAGCAACCATGCAGGTGAGACACTGACTTTACCAATTGTGCATTGTCACTTTGGGAAGCAGATGCACAACTAAACTAGCTGACTTGGTCTGTTGACGCCTGGGCTGATTCGATTGGTCAGGAATACGCAGTTGAGAAACAATGCAAACGGTCTGATGTAAATGATTGTTGATGGCAAAAGGATCCGGCGAAATTCAATGACATGCCCCGCTGGCAGAAAAGGGTGAACCAGATCAACATGGATAGGGTTGTTTCATCTTTCAATAGTCCTCACCGTCATTAGCAGCCGGAGAAAGAGGATGTTGAAACTCTTTCGCAGCGGTGTCGGTGGCACAGGATGCACCAGACCGGTCTCCACGTCAGCTTCCTCATCTTGCGCCATGTGTCTGGAACAGAGCCACACAGGTGCAGATTCAAGTAGTAATCAAGTGCAGATTGCAGAACAGATAATAAGTGCAGATCACAAATATACACATGTTGCAGAATGAACTACTCTGGCCATATTGAAGCTTGTCCATAGCAAGCTGCTGAACAATAAGCAAGGAGGAGAACAGTCTTCATTGTCCAGCAAATGTCTTGCTGTTTCTTGCTACAGACAGGTCTCCAACCTTCTAGCACATTTGTTCCGTCAGCTCCTGACAGGTTGGATAGTCATACAACCAGTCACTTCCATGTTTCTAAGTTATCTCCTCAAGTGCCAGCATGTGTCCTCCCTGCCTATTCATTGGATATAGACAGTTCTGCTGGAGACCACAATCATTTGGCGTCCCATTGGGACTGGCTAGCACTTCAGCTTCTGGCCCTCAGTCAACTTGTTCAGCAGAAAGAGTACTTAGCAATAGCCTTCCTTCTGAGAGAAAATTGAGAGATGAGGTGAAATATTGATTATCCGCCTGATGTATGGTCTCCGTGGTTCCGACTTAGCTAGTGATCTGAGAGTTTCCCTATTCTAAAAACAGAGATTATCACTATCAGTAAGCTGTGGGCCATGAGCAGCTCCATTTGACCTCGGTCTACAAGGGCCAACTAGTGAGTCCAGATGCTCAGAGTGCCCCCCTTCAGAGCTCATGTCCTAGAGTGATTTTCACCCTTTGCAACCTCTACTGAAGCTGAGCCTTCTGTTTCCCCGTCTGTTTCCATCCGTTCCATCGCACTCATTTTCAGCTTCTCTCTCCGTAGTCTCCAACATGTCACCAGATTGAGAACCACCTAGCTGGCCAACGACACTCCAAGCTAAAAACTTACCGGAATGTGACAGGTTTCTTTCAAACTGCGGTGGCCCTTGCTTCTCTAGCTGCTCCAGATGCATGCCTTTGCTAGACCCTGACCAGAATCCATCGGCGCACAATTAATGCTAGAGTCAGCTGCACAATTGGCTCCTCGCTTCTTTTTCGAGAGTAGCCATCAAGGAGTATCTTCAAAGGTGTGCCCCAGCTCCTCTGAGCACTTTTGATCTCTCAGGCTCTGAAGGGGCCTGCCCTTTCCTGTCCAGCGTTTGTTTCTCTCCCTCTCATCTCCCTCTCATCTGAAAGGATGGGGAAACGGTCGGATGGAGTTCTCTTTGTTGAATCGACTGCTCCTCACCTCAGAGGATCCTTCACTGATCCTCCTCGAGCGAGCTAGCGGTGCTACCTACGGTGCGGTGGAAGATGGCCACATGGGCTTGTGTCAGGGCACCAGCAGTACTACCTACAGTAGCCTGCCTCTAGCCTCTAGGGCGGGCCCAGCCGGGACTCGGGAGCCCCCGGCCGTATAGCGTTGCTCAATCACGTGATTCACCAACATTGTGTCAGTAATTCTGGCTCGTGCTGCGTGCGTGCATGATTCATATACCCGGTACTTTTGATGCGTAAACAGTTTCATTTCTGACAACCGATGATAAATTTCGTACGGCCCGTGGCAACTGATCTGGAAAATAACGGTCAGCCGCGCGCGGTGGATCTGAAACGTCAATGTCGTCGAACATACACGTCAGTTTACGAAACCGGCCTACTCAAGCTAGTAGTACGTAGTACGTACTCAGCGTGCGCGAATGAAAAGACAGAACAGTACTTGAGGAAGCTTTCGTTCAATTGCTTCAACTTTCAAGCAATCAGAGTCAAACTCAACAAATTCAGAATTAATATACATATGCCTGCATAGCTTGGAAGCAAATGAGAAATGTGCTCTACCTAGATCTATTCCGTCCGCTCTAGCCAATGCTGACAACAAACGGACTTTGGAGCAGCGGACTTCCGAATCAGCGGAATGGCGGGCTAGGGTTCAACTTCGAAATTCGAGTCACGTTCACGATCGAGGAAAGCTGAGCTCAGGAAACGTCTTGGCAATTGAGCCCGAGCAGGGATGGCGGAGCACATGTGGTCGTCACTTGGGCCAGGAGAGGGATCCTAAAAGGGAGGTCTGGGGTGATGGTATGGTGGCGCACTCATATCTGTTGTGGAGAAAGAGCAGTTGTAGAGCCTCTTGGGTGCCGTTTGCACGACGTATGCAGCCTCTTCATTATGGTCGCTTCACAGTTCGAGGCGGAAGGTGCAGTCTGACTGTTTGGAGCTTTGGAGCTTCGACTTGTGACATCACCTGGCATGTGGAAGTGGTGACGTGATTAGGGTTAGGGTCATTTGTGCATGATGGGTAATGGGAGGGGGCCCAAGGTGGAAGGCAAGGGGGGCAGCGACAACGGGGATATATGCGTGAGGGGACTGGCCTGGGTGACACGGGAGGATGGGTTGAGGAAGTACTTTGAGCAATTTGGCAAGGTCAGACCTGCATGCGCTGCGTATTCCTTTCTCAGCAGTGCTTGCCAACAGTGCGTTCTGGTTTTGTCAACTTGAGCTGTGCGGAGTATCAAGGAAAGCCACAAGTTTTGCTGTTATTCCATGATTTTGCACCATGACAGAGAGGCATGCACGGGTGCTGGATGTGACTATCTTGTGAGTTCTTGAATTGAGCTGTCCGAGCCATTCAATTTGAGCCATTCGAGTTGTGTTTCAAAACACCACTGTTCAGGTTGATCGTGTCTTTAACGTCAGTTGCAACTTTCTTCACTTGCGGAATTGACAACACTGATGCCAACATCGGTTCTTGCAAGTATGGTTACTTGTTCTAGACGTCGGCCTTTTTTCTCCGGTGCTTACAATGGCTTTTTGGTAAAAGTGTTTGTAAGTAACTATAATTGTGATGTTGTTATGTTGGTCATATAACGTAGATATGGTTGTGATGTTGTTGCGTTGGTCAAATATGCACCTGGTTGCCTTGCCGCCAGTCTGAGGCGGTAATTCGCATCTTGTTTCTATGGTTCCTCTGAGTGGTCTCCGGACCATAGCTTTGATGATCCTGTGATTGTCCTGAAGATGCAGGGACTCTATGCATCAAGGGCCAGCTTCGTTGCAGGAACTGAGGTTTGTCTTGTGCACTTCTTGGTTGTGCAAGTCACCTGCTTGTTGGGGGTAAAAGCAGCTGTGTTTGGCTGCACAACTCTACTTGGGACAGGAATTGCGTGCTCAGTGTTTAGACATTATGTCACTATGGCTTAGAAAGAGCATAAGCAAAACCATTGTCAGCCGCATATTGTTTTGTATGCAGTTTGGCAGTTTGCGACGGTGAAATTTCTCCTATGACAGCTGTCAGCGATTGCTCAGATGACTGCAAGCTTTGTTGACGTTGTGGACTCCCTCTAGCAGTGCTTTTATACTTTAGGCAGTGAGCATGACTGAATCATCCTCTTGTGACCGAACTTCAACAGAAACCAAGCAATTCTGGTCACTGGCAAGTTTTGTAGTTTTTGGCCAGATGCTCTTTGGACTTCTTGCTTTAGGATTGAAGGTTTGTGGTCTGCCTGCCTGAATGATCGCCTCTAGAAAGAGGGACTTCCTTCGGTGGGACGTGAAGTGAACTTGCTGCGCACAATTGAGGGATGACGGGGCATCTGATGACCCCCTCAGTTACCAATACTCCGGGACTCTTGAGTTTTGGTGCCATGTCAACAGCAGTACTTGCAAGGGTCACTTGGTGGGTCAGCAAGTCCAGTCCTCTGGCCCCTCTCTATTGCAATTGGTACCTCTGAGCTGCTCCCTTGGTCACATGCTGCCTCGTTGGCTCCTTGCGTGATTGCTGTACCACGACTGACTCAGTTGGTCGGTTCCCCCTCTCAATCAGTTACCATCAACTTGCGTGAGAAACAGTATTCAAGATGGGAATCTGGTCGTCTGGAAGTGAGCTTAGAGCGCTTTTAGGTGCCATATCAGCTGCGCTTTTGCCCTCATATTTGCAGCACAAAGAAGCTGAATATACAGGTATAGTGCTTGTGGTAGTAACCTCCTCACGGTAGCTCGTTTGAATAGACAATGAAAATGAACTTGGTCCTGTTCCAAGTAGCGGCCTCCTTCATTTGCTTGATGTTGGGTTGCTGTCTTGCTCATCTTGTTTCCCAGCGCGAAGTTTCCCAGCTAAAGGAAAGTCAATAGAGCTCTCAGCTTTTCTTGGTTAGCTACACTGCTGCTTATACAGACATTTCCTGCATGTTTCAGTGATTATTCACTGGTCAGAATGAATTGTGAGCTTCGGAGTGGGGTTTGTATTCCCCATTGGCCAATGTTGACCTAGATGGAAATTGTCATTTTTTCCCAGGCCCCCCTTCACTAAGTTGAAGCTGCCGTCATGGATTGAAGGGCTGTTTGTGAGACACTTGAGAATTTCAACAAAGAAAGCACCAGGGATATTTCCATTTCAATTTCCGTGGCAGAGTGCCCCAAGCTAAGAACAACAGCACTTTTGTAAGGAGAAGTTTGCTTACAGCTTTCGCTTGCGTAGGTGTGTTCAGCTTGAGTTCCGTCAGTCCCAATCTATACGACAACCTTTGCCAAGTGCCCTTCACCTAAAACATTGTGCAAGGCTTCTGTCATCTTTACTTGGAATACAACATCCTAAGGCTCATCAATCTTTTCTGTTTCAACGCAGTGTGCCACTTCATAGACTTCATTCAATGAGCAAGTGTGGACAGATTATTTGCAACAAAAGTAGATGAAGTTTGAGCAGTCTGGGATTGATGTTCGCATGCAGATTAAGAGGTTTGCAGTAGATAAGGGCGTTTGTGAAGACTCTGAGCTGATAAGGATTCATTTCTGCCTGCAGTTAACAACGTGTACAGTAAAGGAGGACGCCGACGGCAGATCACGCGGCTATGGCTTTGTCAATTTTGAAGACCCTGCGCTCGTCGATCAAGTGATGGCACAGCAAGAGCATGTTATAGATGGTAGGAAGGTGAGACAACGTTGGTTGGGGCTTCAAACACTCTTTCTAAGGTTCCAAGAGTAGAACTAGGTTGTGCCCCTTCTGGGCAGTGTATGTTGGAACAGAGTGGTTTGTAAGCAGGGCGAGATTGCCCACACGACTTTATAGCACTAACATTTGCTCAATTAGGGTTTTAGTTTTCCAGCATTCCAGGCTTTCTTTTGTTTCGTGTTGGTCTGCGCCAAAGTGACTGGTAACGAATTGTGGGAGCGAGCGGTGTAGCAAGAAAGTGCTCTATTGGTGCGGTTTCAACTTCAATTTGCAGCTCTTCAGCTTCAAAAGGTACAGCTTTGCTATTGTGAGAAGTTTAGTTAACTAAACCTTGCATTTGCACTATGGATTATCAATATTTGATTTATTCTCGAGCAAAGTGCCTAGTTCCCCCCACCTGAGACAGGGCAATCTTTGATTACGAGACTGTAGGGCCTTCTGGTTGAGTTGACGTGGTCAGTGTCTGCGGGTTTAGTCAGAGGTCAATTGAAAACCTCTCTTTTTGGTGCAGGTCGAATTGCGCCCACCTTTAGACAAGGAGGAGCGGCACGCAATAAAGAAGGTCTTCATCGGCATGGTGCCGGCCAATATGACGCCCGAGCTGCTTGAAGAGCATTTTTCACAGTAAGAGCCCCGCATACCGCCTTTTTGAGAAGTCTGCAGTTACAAAGTCTTGCAGCTCAGACAGTAACAGCAACGTACTATTGAGCAGCATATCATCTGTGTCATTACGCTGCAGGTTAGCTAAATAATAGCTGATGTTAGGCAGTGGCTATGGGTGTACTACAGGCTTGTATTAGCATTGCCCAAATCTACCAGGAAGTAAGTAGTCATGGAGTGTTTCTGCTTCATGATTGACTACAAAAAAGGTAGCTACAGGTTATATGGACTAACAGACACTGGTTGCCTGGACGATCTTTCTTCAGGGGGCTCTCCTGCTTGAACGTGGGGGCCTCTTTGTTTGTGTGGGAAAAGAAAGGAAAAAGTCGGTGTCTTTTGTAATGTAGAGGTGCATCTTTATACTCTTGGGGGCGTCCAATCAACTTGTTTTCTTTCCCACGCTGCTTGTTCTTGCAATACCTATGGTCAGTGCCTGAGAGGAAGCTGCTTAGATTGCTAAAGGTTGCAAAAGGGACACTCTACGCCACTGTTACCCGCCTAAGCCAAGCTCTTTCCATTGCAGGTTTGGTAAAGTGACTGACGTCTTTCTGCCAAAGCCCAATAGGGGATTTGCCTTTGTAACCTATGAGAAGGGCGAGGCAGCCAAGGCAGCCCTGAATGTGAGTCCTCTGCATAAGAACTCCTTTCAAGAGATTGCTTTGTCTGTATCCTTTTTGGTTTCCATCTTGGGCTTCTCCTCAAGAGATAGCGAGGGTCGTCAGAAGTAGCAAGAACGCATAGACACTAATAGAACATGCGGTGTGAGTTGTAGTTGCTGCCTTGTTCTGCGAATCAAGTTTGGTGGATCAAAAGTGCTGGCCTAAAACCTAATCCAGCTTCGTGGCTAGCAACTATGGTCAATGGTAGACGCAAGCACAGCACTCGTTTTTTGCACAGAAAGCTTTCAATTTTGTGGGTAAGAGTGGTTTAGAGTGGGGTGGTGAGACATGGTGCGGACAAACTGCATTCGTTTAGCTCGATTCGGGCAATTTGGAGTGTGATGAAGGAAAGGGGCTCTTCTTTTATCCAGCTTTGGAGTGCCTAGTTTCCAGACTTCTACATCAGACAGGCGCACTCGTACAACTGTTTTGCCATTTCCAATTAGGTTGTGCATCTTCCATACTGACCCTTGACAATCATATCTTATCTGATTCCTATGTTTCGTTTCCTTCAGACTGCGGAGCATATGGTGGGGGGGCACAAACTCCAGGTGAAACTCCCCACCCCCAAGATGACGGCCGGCCCAGCGCAGCAGCTAAATCCGTTCCAAAAGGCGCAGATGCTACAGCAGACGCAGCAGATGCAGTTCGCACAGCAAGCAGCGACCTCACAGGGGTAAGGCGGCATCCCAACCATTACACTTCGATTTGGAGTTTGGGCGGTATGAGTAGGCTTCCTCCGTTGTTGTCAAGCTTAGTAAACAACGACCCTAGGTTTTGCAGATTGCTTGAGGTGTGATGCTGTTGTGTTTTATGGATCCGATCTTCTCGAATTCTAGCAGGATTGAACTTTTTAAGTTTCGCCCCACAATAGATGCATAATGATCAGTGAGGGCCGGCTTACAATAACCTACCCAAACAAGTGAGTCTGTGAAAGGTTAGTCCGCATGTCCCCATCTCAAGTGCCCACCAAGCACCGCTGAGAAAATAAGTCTTCGTTCGCGGCATGCACACCTTGCTGGGTTTAAGTCCTTGGGCGTTCCAGCTATCCTATTCTCAGATTGTCAGTCTTTCCTCGGTCCATAACGTTGCAGGTCGTTCGCCATATTTGCGTGTTTTCACACGGCATATTTCTGCTGTCGATTGCAGGATGCAGTACAGCGGGGGAGGCCCTGCGCTGCTCAGCCCATACGCTATGCAGGGCTACCTGGGGCCAGGAAGCTATCCTGCAGTGCCAGGAGCAAGGCCTACGTATGGAGGTTCGTGCAGTTCACCTCAAAGATGACTATGTTGAACCATTATAATGCTCCGCGGAAGCAACATCGGGCGCGATCATGAGATTTATGTATAAAACGGTCGAACACAAGCGTGTTTGACCCTAGAACGAGTCCGGAGATTGGTTCAGATCAAGTAACAACTTGGATGAGAAGTTTCGCCCTTGTTGATTGTAACACGCATGCGAGGCTTGAGATCAGATTGTTTTGCCATGAAGGCGGTATGTTACATCAGCACCCTTGGCTCTCTTTTGCTCATGTTCAAAACAACACTGGCGACTTCTCTAGTGGCAGCTTCGAAAGAGGTTTCCAAATGGCCGAGGCCACGCTGCTTAGTTGTTGTCAGCGAGTTTTCTTTCTTTTTGGCTTTAGAGACTGAGGGGAGCGTATCTGATCGTCCGATTTCATGCAAACGATTTTGTCGTTTCCTCACTGCTTCATCAGAGCGGTGGGTTGCAAAGGAACCAGGCAACTTTATCCCGACCTCAAACAGCCGAGTATTGGTAGAAAGACGTCGTTTTCAAGCATTTACCCGTCTGCTACAGCATCTGTCAAGGAAAACCAAGAGCTTTCTTCTTCTTCAGCATTCAAGACTGAGCCTTGTTCCTGTTTCCCTGCAGCGATGTACCCCGATCCGCAGCAGTACGCTGCGTACGGCCTTCTCCCCGATTTTGCCAACTTCCACATAGGACAGCCTCAGCAACCGGGGCACTCCACCGGGCAGCCGAGCCAGCCGATCCAGCAGCAAGGGGCTCAGCAACCGGGCTATCAACAGCAGTCGGGGCATCCTTCCGGGTTCCAGGGTGGCCAGGTGGATCACTCTGCAACTCAGCAGGTGAGAAGCTTTGCCCTCTTTGCAGAAAGGAGCAATTGAAGAATCAGCATCAAGTAAAGAAACACGACGCTGAAGCCTATGCTCGTCAGCTCCATTTCTTCTGGTGGATCGACCCGAGACCAGGAGCGTTATTCGAGTCTAGGTGACATGAGGTTTGTGCGATCATTCAACGAGCATCTGGGGAAAGATTATTTTGCTCGCAAGACGGGTCCGTATCCCCTGTTGCCCATGCAGTGCAGTCACTGAACGTTTGGCCAGCGCTTTTTGTCGCTGTTGGGATTCTGCGCACAGGTTCTGCCCAACAATCAGGTTTGTCGTGTCAAGAATGGGTGCATCAAACAATTCATGATTATAACTTCAAGAGCTCCAGTTGGATTGATGCTCACTGTGCACTTGAACTTGAATTTCTTGTTGCATTTGCTATCGTAATCCTTGTCACAAACAACCGCCCTCGACTGAAAATTGTCTGGGATCCTCAAGAAAGATCGCGTCTGGCCTTAAGGTAAACACGAACAGACTCCTTTGACAGTTGGAAAGAGGCAATTGAGAAGCGAAAAGATGGATTAAGCTAACAATTTGGCAGATGGCCGCGCCCGGCGGCGGCCTTGTGCCCGGTAGGACCCAACCGGGCACCCAAGAGCACAGCGACGAAGTGTCCAATATCAGCCGCCCGCCTTCCGATTTACCAACAAACGTGTCCTTCAATTCTTTTTCGACTTGCCTGTGCAATATATATCCGATATAAGTGCTCGCCCTCGCCTGCAGATGGCCATTCCGGGCGGAGGCCTAGTGCCCGGTAGGACCCAACCGGGCACCCAAGAGCACAGCGACGAACTGTCCAACGGCAGCCACCAGGGGCTCCCATCTTCCACCGACTTTGCAACATACACCGGGGTGCAGCCGAGCGAGGGGAGCTCGCCACCTGGCGGGGCCCAGAGCGCGCCACCTGGCATGGTTCCGGTTCCAGGAGGCATGTATTACGAGGGGCAGCAACCTATGGGCTCAGGCGGGAGTGTGCTCCAGTCGCCCGTGCAGGGGGGAGTGATGCCCCAGGAGTATTTTATGCCCGGTGAGTGCATTCTGGATCTGTTACCCCGCATGTGTCCGAGGCTGAAGGTGCATGTATTGGTGGTGTATTTGGGTTTATGTAGTCCTGGTTTCGGTTCGCTGATAGGTAGGTACGAAGATACTTACTCCATGGTTGAGATTCTTCAGTCCGTTCCCTTATAAGCAGTCTAGCGAGTCCATTGATGTTCCTTCCAAGCTATGGGCCAAGTCCGCTGTTCGTTGTTTCTCAGGGGTTTCTGCCCAATCTCGTTTCCTTGGCAGTAGGAATAGGATGCTGTTCTTTTCCCTCCCAGGACTCGAAGAGCTCCGTTTCAGTTCTGTTGCAAACGACCTGAAGCGATCATTTACATATCTGCGTAAGCAACCATTTGATTGTCCTATTTTCGACCAGCTCAAATCATATGCAGACTCCGATCATCTCCCTGTCAGCTTTTGTCTCGTTTGAATTGGCCCGCCTGTCAGCCCCTGGTGTTTGATGTCCTTCTCCCAAGAAACGTCTCAAAGTTGTCTTCCTTAGTCTATGCATCCTGAGCATTTTTCTTTGGTATCCTCCCAGGCATGCTCCCATACGGGTATGGCTCGATGGGGTCGTATAGCCCGTACGGATACCAGCCAGCCTACAGAGGCGCCCGCCTTTTGAACACGACGCAACTGTTCATCACCAATCTTCCGTACAGCGCAACCTGGCAGGTAAGGTGTCTTTCGGCAACTGAGATTGGGGGTTTTGGGTTACAAGAATCGGTAGATCTCGTTGATTGAGGCATCTGAATACGAAACGGGGGTGCGTAGGAGCCTTGGTTCCGAACCCCCTGGAGTGGGTACCTGAGAAGCCAGCCCTGTTTTCTTTCTGTCGACCTTTTGAGTCCCGTTCAGAAGCTCAACTGTTTCCAAGCAGTACGGGCCCCCGGGCAAGCGTTATCCTGGAAGTGAGTACGCTCCCTAAAGTGGGCGTAGGCCGTCACACTGACGGCATCGCCGGAGCGTGACGGCGACAGAAAAAAGTCAACGTACACACTCCGAGAAAATCAATTTGGCGGTTTGTACCGTCCGATCGAAATTCGACTCGCGAGCCCTACGCCCACTTTAAGGGCGTTAAATTGACCTGACCTTCCCTAATTCAGACGTTGATTCGAATTCGCATTTCGTTGCAGGAGCTCAAGGACTTCTTTAAGCAGTACGGTCACGTCCACCGGGCAGAGATCATCCTGGACGAGAGCGGCAACTCCAAGGGCCGTGGCACCGTGCGCTTCTCCAACAACTACGAGGCGACTCACGCGGTGAGCACGAATTTGATTCGCTTGTTAGATCTAGTCGCTCGTGTTGAGTCCTTCGAAGTAGCTTGGTGAGTCTGGGCGATTGTTGTAGATTGTCCTTGCCCACATAAGCTGTTCGTGCTTGTGGGCATCTTGATGCATCCTTTGATTTATTCAAGGTGCGATCGTCAGAAAGCGCTTGAGCGTGCGCATGGCTTGGTTCGATCACCTGTGTATTATTAGCACATGCCGCAGTTTGTCCGAGTCGGTTTTGGTCGTTGACTAACTCCGTCGATCAGCTAGGTCAAGATTGTCGCTGCCGCGTTTTGGTTCATTTTCGATGCATTGAAGTGCACCTGCTGTTCGAAAGTTCGCAAATTGATATCTCGGGATACCTGCAGTGGAATTCGGCTGACTTCGTCGCTGCTGTTCATTCAGCGTTCTCCAAGTCGTGTGTGTTGACACTTCGCATCTTACAAAGCTACCACGATGAACACAGTCGTACTTCTATAATAATTTTGCGTATCGTGGGTTTACGCCTTGTTAGAAAGGCTGCAAACACAACATTCCTCGTTTCTTACTTCTTGGGATGGTAACGGAAGGGTAGACGAGCGAGCCTTGGCAGGCACGGTGGTCTTGGAAAAAGGAGTTTCCTCGCAATTTCTTACAACGAGTGTGATTTTCCTGCAGATGATGTACGCCCAGAACGCTCTTTTCAAGGGCAGGCCCCTGAGTGTACGAGAAGACCGGCAACTGGGCTCCGGTGTATCCTAATATCTCAATTGAAGTTTTGTACTATGTACAATGTTCGAATGATAGATAGCCACATTTCGGTTCTTGAGGAGACTTCAAATTAAGCAGCCTTTAGAAATATGAAAGGTCGAAAGTCGAGCTGTTAAGGATAGGGCAGGTCGGTCGCACGAGAAAACCCAACAAAAGGATAACATACGCGACGCCACAGAGATATTCTGTACAGACAGACAGCATTGGAGAAGACGTAGGATACGAGGCACTAGCTGTAGCTCAGCTTTGGCAGACTAAAGCTTATGGGCCTTTCCGCCCCCCACGAGATCAGGGATGTACAAAAGCGGGTGCGGCAGTGCCACCCTCTTGCAGAGGTACAATTCATTGGACAACTAGACCTTGTATCATGATACTCGATTGGGAATATCTTAGTTTCTCCTTGTTGTAAAGCTTTTATTTTGGTTTTCGACAGCTCATTTGCTAAACGTGTAACCAATCCTTTTTAAAAGGTCGCATGGCATGAACCGGGGCGGTTCGCGATTGTTGATTACTTTTGTGTGCAGTGAGCTTGGTTATGCATGCAGCAGGCCGGTTTTGTACTTTATCAGGCTGCCGCGTATGCCTCCGATTGCTCATGCAGCTCCATTCGTTCATGCAACCCAATTATTCGCTAAAATAAGCATATACGTTCACTATACACAGTCGACACCATGCAGGCAAGTTCTTTCCGAAGTTCATCTCCGGCATGAACCCCGAAAGTACCGTCCTTTGGCATGGCATGGGTTATAGCATGGCCGTCGGCGAGCTAGGCGCATGGCTAGGGCGCACCGTTACGCGACTTATGATTGGACAACTTGTCTTGGAGCGCGTTTCAAATTGCTCAGCATTAGCAGGAGCTCCATGTCAAGTGTCCAGTAAATTTTGGGTACGTAGCAACTTTTATTACTTTGCTTACGCACTGAGTGCGCGCATGCATGTGTTTTAGATACCGTCGACCATGTCTGACCCTTTGACAAACTTGGCCGTTGGAGACATGAGTCCAGCTCACTATCACGTACATGACCTAGACCGTCCGATTGGACCGTACTTTCCTCGATCGACGGCCGCTAACTGAACTTGCCACCAAGGCCCTAGCTGGCCCTTTGAACTTAGGGCCAGCTAGCCTGGATCGAGCTCGTCCTTCGACCATCGTGGCCAGGCCATGCAGCTATAGCGCGGCTGCGCCATATTGCGGCATGCGCTAATTCACACATGAAATCAAATCATTGTGCATTCAATACCATCCACCACATGCTCCATGCATATGCATCTTTAATTGATCTTATGTACCAGGCTATACGTACTGAGCTAGCCTTGATGGCATGGCACGCCTACGCGGCGGCAAGACAGAATCTGGGTTCGTGACATACTATACGGGCTGCAATCAGAGCATGACATGTGCTTATCAAATGCAGGTACAGTCGTAATTAGATCGTAGGCCGCGCTGCGCATGTGTGAGTACTAGTCCCTCAATTTACCATATAGTCGCATGCACAGATCGGATTGACAGCTTCAAGCCCATTATCGAAGCTGGTGCGGTGGAGGCGCTGTCCGATCTTTCGGTGCAATCATAACACTTAGTGCATCCGGCCTTAACGTCACAACAGACCGCGGCCACCCACTCCCAAGCGTGAGTGACCGGCTCCTAGCATGGGCCTCTCGCCAGCAGACTTCCACCAGGCTACCGTCAGACTCATCGTACAGTCGGTCTGTTGGGCTGCCGGTTGCACTGAATTTGATTCAGGTACTCGTTGGTCATGCTCCGGTCAGTGTGGACCCTCGAATGCATGCATGCGATGCAGGCCAGTGCGACCCGACCGGCTGGGGGTTCGGCCGCGCTCGGAGATGGATATTGCGAAACCATGATAAACCGCTAGATTCGCGGCACTTGTCCCAGCGTGTAGCCACTAGACTTGTGCCAACTTCACATCTCATACCTCAGAGACCGACTTCCGATTAGAGAACGATAATCCTTACATCCCCTCGTTCGGTTGGACTTGAATCCCTTTAGTCGGACAACCTCCCGAAGACTATCCGTTCAACTCGTCGATGATCACGACGTATGGATCGATGTCGGGCGCCGGAGCGGTCATTGGCGTAACCGCCGATAGGTCCTCGTCGGGCGGTGCAAAGAAGGTCGGGAAAGGGGTGACCTCTGTGTCCGGTTTCTTTCGGAGCGCGTCCCTGATGAACACGAAGTTGCCCTTGTGCCCCGGTACCTAGATTTGTCAAAAATTTCTTCATCATTCAATCCCTTTTTGAAACAACCAGAGAAAGACTTTTAAACATCACTCAGACAAGCAGAGTCAACGCGCTGGTTTGTAAGTTGGATCGATACATCATCAGTCCTGAGACCCCCCATACTAACTCGGCGAATCTGTATTGGTGATCGAAAAGAGGGTTGAGGGAGTCGCTCGCTCCACGCAAGGATTAGAAAATCGGTAAATTGTTATGCTTGTCACTCAGTATGCACCTTCGAGAGTCCCGGGTTGAGATGCGGCAGACCGGCAGGACGTACTTAAACCTTGAAGCCTATGACAAAATTCGAACTTGAAGTATTTTCTGAATGGAGGTGATCTGACAACTCAGATACGTCGTCTGTCATGGCGAGTGAAGCTTGTGGTTCACTGACGCCTTCAAACCTTTATGCTTGTTTACGAGAGGGAGAGAATCGCAAAGGAGTGTGATGTAGAACCTTCATCTCAGAAACGCAACGCTACACCTCGCAAAGGGCTGAAATCTTGAAGAGAGTTTGACGACCAAACGTTCGACTCTTCGACACAAGAAAGATTCCAGACAACAATCAGGGACCGACGACCGGAACTGCCCTCAAAGTCTGGCCATCTGAGGGATGATCGAGAATTTCAACACATATACACGGAACTCAGCCAACAACCTTTTACTACCAATAGTGACTGACTCCGCCAACTCAGCAAACACTCAAAAGACTTTGCGCCACCATTTTAATTGTGAGGCAAGCCGACTTATTTTTCCGGGGGGCAGAGATGACGCTGCATACCTGCCCCCTGACGTAGATGAGATCCCTGGCCGGGTCGACTTTGTAGATCCAGACGGACTGCACCGTGCGCGTCTCATTGCCCATCTGCCCCGCCATCTTCTTGTTTTTGAACACTTTTCCGGGGTCCTGGAAACGAAAAACAGGTTTTATATCGTGACCCAAACCTTATCAGACTTCTGTGCAACTTGTTCTTGAACACCTTTCCGGGGTCTGAAAACAAAAAAACAGGTTCAACATCGTGACCCAAACCTTATCGGACTTCTGTGCAGAACCAGGGTTCAGGGCATGGTTGCATCAAAGGGTTTTGAAACTGAAGCCCAGTCTGCGCGCCCGTCGAATCACTTCAGTGTTGAAAACTGCGAGGACTTTTCCGCCGACGTTCTTGCAGTGAGGAGACTGAGAGTGCCTTCAGCATCTTGCCGCCAAGTAAGAGATCGCTTCTGGGGTTTAGAAGGACGCAAACCTTGTTACACGGAGCGTCATGTCCCTCTTAAAGATTGTTTCAAAAATCAGCACCAACCCTTCCATCCCCACGAATGGAAGTGGTCTGAACTCGCGCTTCAGACCTTGGTACCAGAACACGGCAGAACACGCGTCTATGTACGTTTTCATCCGACTCTGTTTCCGTGAATGCTCAAACCCAAACCTCCCTTCAGAGGAGGAGCGGCGTCTCACCTGCCTCCATTCCTTTCTGCTCTCATGACAATGAAGCGGGAAGCTATACTAAACCAAGCTGAAGCGAATTAGACAAAACCAGAACTTCGATCTTCTCCCGAACATCAAGCGCATCTCACCTGTCTCCCTCCCGTGGAACCCTGAGACCGGTGAGACTTCGAAGCACCGTGCGACGCGTTGCCCCCCTTGAAACCGTGCCGTTTCATGACCCCCTGAAAGAGGTCAAACGGCGGTCAGACACTGCGGGATGTTCTTTCTTTCACGTAATGAGCGACGAACATTGCACAAGGAGGATACTCTTCGCAGTGATGTGACTTAGGGCATGCATGTCGGTCCTGCCTTTTGGTAGGAAGCAAGAATGCTTACGCCATACCTCCACAAGCAGAAATTACTCTGGTAAGATTAGATGCTAGCGAAAGGGAGATTGCCAGGTCCAGGACTCGATCTCACAGGCGTGGGGGCACTACCCACTGGCTGAAGTTCGAGCGTCAATTCACGAACGAACGGCCTCAAATTATACCCAGCTTGGCTTCAAAGCCTCCGAAGATGAGTTACAAGGAGGGAAGAAAAGGGTACGTACCTGGAAACCCTTTCCGATCGTGGTACCCTGGATGTCGACATACTGGCCCGCCACGAAGTGCCGAGCGTGCAGTTCCGTTCCGATCTGCAAACACGGGAACGCGCTGTGGTTAGCAGAGGGTTACGGATGGGTTCAGAATAACCCATTCCAGCGCTGTGCAGGTCAGTTTTGCGAGCAAGGGCAGGAAACCTGCTTTTGTAAACACGTGACCGGTATTCGCAACAGCTCCGCTCACGAGAAAACCGTTTGGTAGGGTTTGATATATTTGAGGAGTCAAGTCACAGAATGGTTGGACCGCGTTTGAGAAATTTGCTCAAAGGGACTGATGTGTCACAGCGCTTTGAGCAGCTGAGTCACCCTCTGGAAGGGCGACCGTGCAAGAACAAGGCTATCTTTCTGGTCGCCAATGAAACGCACCTGATCTAAAACGCACGCCAAAGTCCAACCTCTGTGAGCAGATGCTAACACACAAGAGCGGGTGCAATCAATGACTAGCTGCCAAAATGAACAAAATAGTGAGCGCGATCGGGAACAAATCAAACGGTGCAGGTAATCCTAGAAATCTAAAACCACCCAGTGGGGTCTTTTGTCCCAAGACCTTGGTGAGAGGACATAGAAATCCTGCTGGCAGAGCGCTTTACTCAACAACCGTCCAACACCTCCGCAAACTCCGCTTCACTCCATGATATGCCACGGAACAACAACCCATGGAACGGAACGAGCCCACAGAACAACAAAGTCACACACTTCTGAGGAGTTCAAATGATTCAAGCGAGAGTGCTTACCGGCAGCACCGCGTCGGGCGACACCCGAAACTCGTGCAGCCTCCGTTTCAGATTGGCCCCCTGTGCAATGAAGTGCCCCAGCAACGGCTTGGTCAACTGCTTCGCCTTTTTGGTACCGCCGCCGATTTGCAGAGCGGTATACCCCTCCTTTTCGTCCGTCTTAATCTGGACCACCTGCAAGTGTGAAATCGGGCGCGCGTGAGCATTGTTGCAGGGAGCTAAAAGCAGGGTACTGAGCGAGGTTGACACGGAGGAACCAAATCTCAAACCGATTTGCGGGGCAGTACACCCTTCCTTTTCGTCCGTCTTGATCTGGACCACCTGCAGATATAACTATTAGAAAAGGCTTGAGTTGTGCGAGGGGGGCTAAGAACGAGTGTACCGGAACAAGGCAGCGATGGAGCGAAACTTGAAAACGTCGAACTGTGGGTCTTCTCAAGCCAAACCTTCAGTCCCAATACGGAGCAATGTACCCCTCCTTCTCGACCGTCTTCATTAGGACCACCTGCGAGTTGAAAGGCAAGGAAGGCTTGCCATCTGCAAGAGGAGTTAAGAACAAGCGTACAAAGCGAAGGTCCGACGGAGAGAAAGTTGAAAACGTCAAACTGTGGTCTCCTTAGCAGACCTGGAGCAGAGTGTAACGCTTCTATTCATCTGTCCTGATTGGACCACCTGCACATGAAACGGTCGCCAACCTCAAAATCAGTGGAGCAAAGACGAGGGCTCCCGATTCAGTCAGTTGTGCAACAAAAGGTTGAAACTTCGTACTGCCCTTTTCGGAGTCGGGCCTTATTTCGACCGTCTGGACCACCTGCGACCCGGAGTGATATGGAGCACTCTTACGATTGCAAGCGACGCTAAGAAGGAGGGTACTAGGACAAGATAGCAATGGAGCGGTAGACACCAACACCTTGACCTCCCTGGTATTGCTAGAAACGTCGCTGTTATATATGCCCACATGCGGTCCGCCCGGAAAATCGGATGACCCCGGTTCAGAAGACTTTTATGGCCGAGATCAGCGCTGAACCCCATAGATCCGCAAGGATAATGATTAGTATATCAATCCTTGCCTCTCAGGTCAACCTGCCGTTCCTTTGCAACGGTCAGCACAATGCAGGCGCCAGACTTGGCCGATGCGTTCTAAAATGGTCCCTAGGAATCAGCGGTTTTCAAAACGGTGAACCACACCTCCATTGCAGCAAGACCTTGAATACAGCAGGTACTCAGAAGACAATCAGTAAATACACCAACCCCGAGTCCTAGTGCAGAAGGATTCAGGCACTCTCAGCCCCAGTCGAACAGCAAACAATCTTCAATATTCAAATGCAAAGATGATGAAGATTGAAGCCCCTAAGATCGCTCACCTCGTTTTCGTGAACCCAAAGCACCGTCACTGGAATCCGTATCCCCCACTCGTCCCACAGCGCAGTCATACCACACTTCACCGCAATGACACCTGTCCGCATCGAGTCCGGCCCCCAAGGCCGGGGCTCGACAGCTGGACCGGGAGTCAGCCAAGAGGGGGTTTTCGCACCAGCGGGGTTTCCAACACCAGAGGGGGGAATCACACCCGGGGGGATGTTCGCACCGGTTGAGGATGTTGCGCTGGAGGAAGATGAGGCACCGTAAGAGGTGGAAGCAATTGGCGGCGGCGTGGCGGGGGGGTTCCTGGCCTGCAGCATACGGGGGGGTGTTTGAGAAATATAAACAGCGCAATGCGATGTGCCACTTAAGTCTGTCGCAGCGACAGGCAATGTCTCAGCGGTTTCAATCAGTCCTCATGACCGAGTGGCTTGAAAAGGTGAGATGGCAGACTCTAGGCAGCTTCTTCCAAAAAATGGTCATAGAAGACATTGATGCTGAGTACCAAACACAAGCTTTCGCTTTCTACAGCCATTTGCCTTCATTTCTTTTGTTCCACAGCCGCTAGGCCATGGAAGGTCTTGCGGGATTTTGACCTGAACTAATCATGCTAGATCAACAGTGCCTATAACCTGCTTTGAGAGTGGCAAAAGCAATGATGATTTCTACAAACTACGTTATATATTTCAATTGCTTGCACCAGCCATGTTGCACTCCGCATGTGAAAGAGGAGATTTGAAGGCTTCTTAACCGACAATTTGAGAAACAGCCTCGTCAAGCGGACCAGATCATGAAGAAGGTCACCGCAGATGTTAAGACTTGATTGTAATGCAGAAGTGCTGATGCCACATTGACCATTCTCTAATCAGAACCTCACCTCAGAAGAATGGCCCGCTGCGTCCGCTGCGAAGCTTTCTGAAGCAAAGCGTCCATCCAGCGGAAAGTCCCCTTCCAAACCCTGCTCCAACGCGCTCGGCCCCGATGACAACCCGCTACCGTCAGCATTTCGCTGCCACATGGCATCCAGCGACTGGCTCAAAGCTGCCAAGTGTTCCTCATTCAATTCTGGAACGTCTCTCCTCTGCTGGACGGCCGCCAACGTGGACATCCTCATACTAGTTCCCAAACCGCTGATCCGCGTCGATTCGCGAGCCCCCACCCTGCCTTGCAGCTGTGAGCGCTCCTGTCGTGAGCTGTTGACACCACCATGCGACGCCGCCCCAGGCTCGCTAGGCTCGGTGGTAACAGTGTCAGATGCACATTCAGCTCTCCTGAAAGTGCCATCAGACCACTTATTGGGAGAAGCAGTGTCCTCGACAGGGGCTGCTGCGGTTGTTGAAAAGACTCTGGCACCCGGCGCCAGTCTCTGCTGTAGCGCGCTGCGCACGATCCGAGAGAGCTCCCGGCGAACCGCCATTCTGAGGTCGAGCACACAATGGTGCTGCGCAGGTGCAGGTGTGGAACCACTGGTTTGCAAGTGGTGTTATTCCTCCTTACAACATCTCAAATCATTGCTCAGGCACGTTGGTCCTTGTGGTCCAGAAGAAAGCACCTGATCAAGCCTACTCCTAGGAGCCCGCTTCCTTCCTGCACCCTTCTCGGCTTGACCCTCCAAGCGCTCGCCTTCTGCCCTCTCTTCAACTTTCAAGTTGTGCCAGACCATTTTGGCAATGCCGTTCTCAGCAGTTGTCATTCCGTTTTGACTGCGGCACCTGACGACGACGTTCCGCTGTAATACGCCGCAGGGAATGGCGGAATTCTTAAATCAACGCGCGCAAGCAGAAGCTTCAATCTCAACCAGACGCAGGAAGTCAAGCAACGGTTGTAAACCAACAATTACGTTACAACCAGTACGGTACTACGGTACCGTACTGCCATTCCCATTCGCACTAAAATAATTATTTTAAGGCCACTGCGAAAAAAAATAAACTAAATTGCGACTGAGGTGCGAAAATGCGAAATAAGAAAACAATTTTTAAAAGTCACATTTGAGGCTTTTTTGAGTAGGAAATTACGAAAAATGGGTCTTTTGCGAAAATTTTGAAAATTATTTGAAGCCGGTGCGAAAACAGAAAACTTTCGAAAATAAATATTCGCACCAGCATGGTGCGAATGGGAATGGCAGTACGGTATACCGGTATGCACCCCGTGTGTACCCCACCCTAGCAAATTCAATAAGCATACCTTACACAGTTGCTGTACAGTTGCTGTACTCGAAGCCTGAAGAGTAAAGGAGAGTCCAAATCCCCTGGTGGAATCTCAAGAAGTTCCAGCTTGCTAGACTGGACTTGAACTTGAAGTTGAAGGCCTTCCCAATTGTCATCAGGGAGGCAATGGACAGGGCGGAATGGTCACCGCAGAGCATGACTCGGAGCAGATCACTGCAGCTCTCTGACCTCTGGAAAAAAGGGGGGAAAAAAGATGGTTCAACTTCAAGGCAGCCAGTTGAGCGTGTTAGCCAGCAAAAGCTGCAAAGGTGGAGATGATTGGAATGTCTGATCTGACAATCTAATTTCCCAAGAAAAGTTGCACTAGCGGATGAAATTTGAACACGAGGAATGGGACAGACCTGGCGCTGACTGGGGAAAATAGAATGGCGCGCTGTGGTAAAACCTTCTGTACTCCCCTACCTCAAGATTCTGGCAAGCAGAGTCCGTGGTAACATCCGTCTACATTTTTGGGGCAACCCAAACACAAAGCTGGGAAGCGATTGGGACGTTCCACCACAGTCAGAGCAATGCTTGGAGTAGCACCTTAGCACCATTTGAGTGGAGCTCTTTACTTGAGAGGCTTCCGCTGGACCTAAATGGGTCTTCGTAGTGTGTGAAGGTACGCAAAATGTTGGCATAAGCTTTGTGGATGAGCCTCATAGCTTATAGCGCCCCGCGATGGAGCTCCCCCGGGAGGTCGCTGACTGGCTCGTCGCCTGCGGCGCCCTTTTACACCCCGAGACTGGCCCTTCACGGAGCACTCGTAATGTGACGTCATCAGCTGACGTCAGCACGTTCGTCCACCTCGACGACGATGCGGCGGCGCGCTTCGAAACAGGTATCGGGACCGCAGCTTTGGTCCGAGTTTTGCTGCAAGAGAAAGGGCTTCCGGAGGCGAATCTGGACGGTTTGCGAACGGCGTCTTCTCCGGTGGCAAAGCTCTTCAACTGGAACAAGCTGAGTCCGGCGTTAGCGGCGTTGGGCGTACCGTTGGATAGTGAGACAAAGTCGCTGATTTTGGCGGGGGACGTCGATGCGGTGGGGGACATACTGTCGGTGTTGCACCAGATGCACGGGGACGTGTATGCAGACAGGATAGTCAGTGCGCAGACTTTGGAAGAAACAAAAGAGAACGAACGGGGAGGCACAGATGGTGATCTAGAGCGGGCGGAAAGGAGAAGCGGGGGGGCAGATACTGGAAAAGAGCTGGGTAAAGAGTATGCAGATACGAGAGGTGGCCCGTTGGACGAGTCTAGGAATGAGCGGGGAGAGTCCAACGCAAATGGTAGAAAGGGGGAGGTTTACGGAGGTCAGGAGACAGAGGATTACGTCATAAACCAGCTTCATAACCAAAGCTCCCGAAAACCAGCTCAGAATGGCAGGTCTAGAAAGAGGGACGAAGAAGAGGACGAGGAGGGCGAGTCGGATGCACACGGGGGTGAGGGGAATGAGTATCTCGAAGGCAAATCTACCCCGCCGGAAGAGAGGATTGATTGGAGTCGGCTAGCCAGCACAAGCGGACGCCCCTCGAGCCGACTGTCAGATATAGAGCCCAGACAGGAACGGGCAGCGGGGGGTGAAAATACTGCCAAACAGAGGGAGGGGGCATCGAACGAACCAGAATCGGGGGCCGGCGCAGGAGGGATGGAAGTCTTGGCTCGACTTGCATCAGATAGTTTTGCGGTGTCATTGTTAGACGCGGCTACTCGGTTGGCCGGAGGAGACTTTGCAGAGTGGATCGTGAGGGGGGGCACGGAAAACGAGAAAGTTTTGGTGTGGCTTGAAAAGGTGGCGGAAAGCGCCGGTGTCATAGCCGCCGCAGCTGTCGCCGAGCCGTCCGACTTGACACAAGTGCTCTCGGTCGTGAGCACGGGCATGGGGTTCGGCAGCGCTGACGTCATCTTCGCCACGTGTCAGGCCCTGGCTGGTCTTGCAAGAGCTCTCCCCGAAGATACGTGCACAGACTGGTTTTTGAGCGAAGCGGGCCCTTTACAAGGCCTTACGGACTGCTGGTTAACCCACCGATCGAGCCGGTCAGCGGGCGGGTTAGCCGAACTAAGCTCATCTTTCTGTGGGGGAATGATGAGGGCCCTGTTTCAAGATAAGTTGCACGAGGTCCTGCCTGAGGCGGCAGTGTACATGGATGTGACGGAAGCGATTTTGGGGCCTCTCGGGAAGAACCACACGAGCAGAAAAGCGCTTGCCGCGGCAGGAGTGCCGGGAGACCTCACAGCTTTTGCGCTGCGGCATCTGGGTGAGTGTGATAAGCTCCGTTTCTGTCCGTACGTCTGCAAAGGGTCAGCAGGAAAGGGGTTTTGAGCCCAGTATGCGCCCTTGGATTCTTCTCAAAGGCAAGGGCGATCGACCGAAGGCTTTTGCATAAGCTCTTGTAACTTTGTTGGGAAGAGAGGCGCTTCAGTTTGTTTGCATCAGCAACGCACAAAGAGTCGAGGAATAAACTACAAGCCTTGTATCCATGGTAAAATTCTTTGGGTGACTGCCCTCTAAATCGCAACCTTTTCTTATGAAGTTACGTCGTCGCATCTTTCGCATGCCACCAACGAATATAGTTTCCGGTAACTTAGCCTAAACCGTTTCTCGGAATACATTTGTGAGAAACTCTTCTGATTGTAATTACCGCCGCCGCCCATCTTTGCAGGTAACGGCCAGGAGGAAGGGGTAAAACTGGCGGCAATGAGCCTTGTGACAGCGGTCTGGGCTCGTTTCCCAAGCCAGGTCCGTGATCTAAAGCTCCCGTTTCGAGGATAGGTGCACACGATTGCATCTGCTTGCTGTATCATCGGCAGAGGTTGCTGACCAGTCGAGAAATGGAGCACTTTGTTTAATAATCCGTATCAGAATAAATAGAAGAGCCAACTCTATCCCGTTTCGTTGTAGAAAAGACGACCTAACTTGCCTCGCGACCTGAAAGCGTGGGTGCTGCGAGGCTAAATCTTCAGAGCCCTTTGTAGACCAAGACTTTAATGGAGGAAGAAAAACGGGCACTCTGTTTTAAGCGGCAGGTTGAGAAAGTTTTCATTTGGTGCGCTTTGCGGTGTCCATTCTTAAGCGTGCATTCTGCAAGTCTGTGTCTCACCGTTGTGGAAAAACTGCCAGCACGAATGAATCCAAGTCTCAAAGCGCTGTTCTTCTCTTTAGTTTCTTTCATTCGCTGTTCAAGTTTGTGTAGCTTCCGTCTACTGTCAGGTCGAGAAAGATGACGACTGGTGCCGCTTTCCGTTGTCCATTCTCAAGCGCCCCTCCTAAAAGCCTGGCTGTTATTCGAAGTGAAGCAGGTACTGACACAGACAATGAAGCTTCAAAGATCTATCATCTCCAATTCTGCTCTTCCTCCCCTTCAAAGTCATCAAGCCTTCCTATGATTGACAGGTTTGAAAACCACAGAGTCCTGTTTCTTTCTTGCACTCTCCGTGCTCAAGCGGATTGTGCGGCAGAGTCACGTCAGATGTGGTATCACCGAGTACCATGAAACGCAAACAAAGCTTCGGTCGACGCGCTTACCTGAATCCCCTCTTTCTCAACCTGAAGATTGAAAAGTCTTCCTTTTTCTGGCAGGTTGAGACAGACGAGAACCTGTGTTGCCTCCCAATCTCCAGGCTTAAACGCGCTTTTCCGCACAGCAAAGCATGTTGAGAAGCAAGACCACCAAACACCAACAACCGCAAGCAAGCTTTGATTGAAGCGGCTTATCTTGCCCCTTCCTTTATCTGTTTTCTGATGAAGTTCTCCCTTTTTTGGCAGGTCGAAAAAGACGAAGACCGGTGTCGCCTCGCAATCTCCACGCTTAAGCGCGCGTGTCGCGACGCAAGTCCGACCCTCCAGCTGGCAGCGCACGGCGCGCTCTTTCGACTGCTCGACGGCTTCATCGCCGCCGGCTCCGCTTTCGCGCCGCGAGTTTACAAGGTGCTTCCGCATTTCATTGCCCGTCATGAAGCATAAGCTTAACTTCTGTCAAGTATCGGTCTTAGTCAATCGAACATTCTAGAATTTCCTATACGAAAGTGTCAATATCTTAGGCACAGAAACCAGGTCTTCTCGCCACACTTCAGAAATCACTTTTTTTGAGAGGCACAGCACGCTTGTCCGATGCTCGAAAGTCTCTTGTCCGGCTGCGCGTTTTCTCCGCGGGTAGTCAAGCGGCCGATATTCTTCGTAATATCGTGGCGAATTCCTTCGTAAAGTTGCGTACATTTCTTCATGGCGGGTGTTGGTACCTGGCATCTGATCAAAAGCTCCCCTCTTGATGACTTTTTAGCCCAATAGTCTGAAGAACGCATAAACCGTGACGACAAGACCCATAATCTTTTAGTCCTCGGATCGACTACCCGTAGGCCTTTCTCTTCTCCTGGTTCCGGCGCGACCTCCAGTTTTCGGCCGCCTCCGACCTCAGCCGCTTGGTTCACTATATGCTCAGATGCATTCCATGCAGGCCTTTCTCGTTCCTTCTTCGAGCACTTTTCCCGGCCCGACGTGCACGCCTCGTTCGTTTCCATTCTGAACCACGTCCTGACCCGCCATCCTTTAGGATTACGATCTTAGAAAGGCTGGGAAACCTGAAATCATTGACCACGGGAATCCACGGTTTCTGAGTCCTCAGGTTCCAAGTCTTCACTACCCGCAGGCACTACTCGTCTCGTTCTTCCAGCCCGACCTGCACGCGTCCGTCGTTTCCCATCTGAGCCACGTCCTGAACGCCAGCCATTGTTGTTACGGTCTTCAATTGGATATTTGAGTCTGGATTCTACTTCTGCTCAAGAGTGCTTTTTGCAGGCACTCCTCATCTCCTTCTTCGAGCACTTTTCCCGGCCCGACCCTCCACGCGTCCGTCCTAAAGGCAAAACCCTATCATTCCGGTCCTCAACTATAAATCATGTACTCTGAATAGAAGAATTTGAATTCTCCTCATCCTCAAGTTTCATTCCCTACAGGCCCTTCTCGCCTCCTTCTTCGAGCACTCCTCCCGCCCCGACCTTCACGCGTTCGTCGATTCGAACTGAGCCACGTCCGTACCCGTCACCTTTATCATCTTAATTTTACAACGGGGTTTGTACGACCATTTTCCAAGCATCATCACACTAATGCTCATCCTTTTTCTGCAGGCCCTTCTCTTCTCTTTCTTCGAGCATTTCTCCCGCCCCGACCTCCACGCCTCGGTTGTCTCCAATCTGAGCCACGTTCTGACACGCCATCCGACCGTCCCGGTCGGGCCCATGCTCGAGCCGCTCGCGCGCCACGTGGCGCTCCACGGCTTCTCGCCGCTCGACACCGACTTCTTTCTCGTGCTCGCTAGGTGGGGAACCAGCTTTCCACAGGACTAAATTTTGAAGCACTGCATTCCGGCGTCTAAACGGTAACGCGTAGTGGGTTTGGAAGTGGGCAGTTGGATCCAAAAATAGGTTTGTGAGTTTGAAGGCTTCCTCGTAAGCAGGAGAGAAGCGCTAAACGACAGGGTTTTTGAGGGGACAGCAGCGCGAGTGACAGGAATGCAGACCCAGACATCCCTGCAGGACAAGATGCAACTCTTTGCGTCAAACTTGCTATCCCGGTTCTAAGCTACTGAGGCAGCCCTGAGCCGTCGGATGCCTTCCAATTTTTGATCGTACGGTCGAATATCAGGAACCTTGTTCGAGAATCTGGAAACCGGATGGCAACAACGGAAACAACTGTATACGGGCTAGTACTTTTGGTAACTGTCAGGAGGCGTGGCAACAAGTGCCGTTATTCGCGCCTCCCAAATTACTGACTTTCCAACCGCGTGCGCTTTCCGCAGGCACCGCCATGTGGACGCCAAGCAGGCGGCCCAGCTCGTATCCATGCTGGGCCATATCGTATTGCACAGCCCGCGATATGCCCCGGACGTCCTCCCGGCTCTCACCGGGGTTCTCTCCCGGTTCCCCGAGCCGGGGCCCGCGGCCGAAGCGCTCGCGTTGTTTTGCAAAGAGGGTTTCGAGGCTTTGGTCGGCTTTCTCCTAAGGTGAGAGCAAACGAGGTTTTGATTTCTGGAGCAAGCAATTCTTCAGAATGGTGTGCAGTTATGCAAGAAGGATATCTTACAACGGTATGAAGGCTGTCAACAACTCACTAATGACAGGAAAGTCGCTCTCGGCGAATCGCGTCAGATTTGGAGCACATTTAAGGAGTATTTATGAGCTTACATGTGGGTTACGTACGCCGTTCACGATAGGAAGAATCCAACTTGAATCCAACCTGAGCTCTCTTCGATCAAGCGGCCAAGGGTTGATCGTTGTCTCAAACGAGCTCTCAAAAAGGCGCGCTCTTTGATTGAAAACGTAAAGTACTTCTGAAAGGACCCTTGACGCTCAACCTCCCCTGCTATCACTTTTCTGATGATGGATGACCTGCCTTAAACTGCATTCTTCTTTTACAACGCAGGCCACAAGACAGTCCCACCCATCCCCCGGTCACCGAGGTCCTTCCCCCAGTCCTCATCCAAATCGCGCGCACGGGTTATCCCCACCTGATTGCCTGCCTCCAAGAGCGCGCCGCGGCCGCGCGCGCGGACTTCTGCGCTCGCGCGCGCTCCGCGGCCGCGCACCCCGTCCTCGAAAAGCTGGTCGCCGCGCTAGAGGCGTCCCAGGCCGGGCCGTCCGCAAACCCGCCCGCTAACCCGACTGTTTTGAAGCCGCAAACGGGAGGGTTTGTAGTTAACGAAGGCGCACGGAAAAACGTACCGAGCTGGGGTCCGGGGCGGCTTCTGCTGAAAATGGCGGACGAGGCAACGGAAGAGTCTCCGGCGGAAACTCCCAGGACGGAGCGTGTGAATAAGCCCAACAGGACGGATGGTGTGAATAGGCACCTCAAAGCCCCCGGTAGTCTAGCACGCGGGGAAGAACCGAAGCAAGCACCGCAAGCGAAACGGGGGGTCTTGCCGGAGCTGAGAAAGAGCGGCGCGCGGAGCCCATTGGAAAGCAGCAAGGCTCAGGGTGACGTCAGTACGACGTTAGGTCACCGTTCGAAGCAACCCCCGGGTCAACCCCTCTCCCCGAAGCCGCTGCCCGGTGCTTTGTCGCCCAAACCGGCCACGTGGCAGAAGGAAAGAACGGTGGGTGACGTCAGCGCGACGTCACCCGGCCTGGGCAGCTCCCTGGCGAAGCGAAACCTGCTCGACCCGGCGTCTCCTAACCACTCGGTTAATGATAACCCCGGCACTTTGGCTCCGTTAAAAGACTCACTCAGCCGCCCCGGTCAGAGCCCGGTGACGAAGAAGTTTGTTTTTGGGCGTACCATCATTGTCAAAAGTGATGACGTGGACGACCGCGGGTTTTGGGCGAGCGGGGAAAGTAACGCGGCGTCCCCGGTGCATCCCCCTGGGTGGTGGGCGGAGCGGCGAAAGATTGAGATTGAGAAAATAAAGAAGGCCAGGGCAGAGAAGGTGGGCACGCCCGGTGCCGAAGCACGTGTCGATGCACTGGTTGCTTCTTGGGCTGTTCGTACGACGCATTTGCTATCTGGGTTCTTTCCCCAAAGTGGCTTCACTTCTGAGGGTGATCACGCGTTCCCGTTCTCCATATAATTGAAGGTTGCAGTCAAAAACATTGTTTTCCAAAGCCTTCCGTCCGCTGCTTGGATTTTTTGTTCGGGAAGGCGATGCTGATGATGACCAAGCTACGCCAATGGAAATGTGATATTCCAATGGAATATTGGGATTTTCCCCGCTAGAAATTGGATTATTGAGCAAGATATTTTCAAGAATCTGGAATATGGGGGTTGAAATTTTTTGAGATTTGAATATCCAGTTTTAACTAAACGGACTAGATAATTTTGCATTTTCAACGTTCATGTTCAATATTTTGCAGGAATATGGAATATTTCAACGCCAGGAATTGGAAAATTGCCCAATTTGGAGCTAGGAATATGGAATATCGAAACCCATATATTCTCCGGGGCCGACCATCTACTTGTTGAATAGATTGAAGGTTTCTGAGACACAGATCTCAATGAACAGCAGTGCTCGGTCAGGTCAAGTGAGTTGATAAGCACCTGATAAGCGACGGACTGAGGGGATTCTGTCCTCGAAACGTGGTCCAGAATGGTAGAATTTAGAGTTTCGCCTCAAAGAAAGTCTTCTTCCTTACGGGTTTGTCACCCTTCGTTTACAGGCTGCCCAAGAGCAAGAAGAGCACGACAAACAACTGGCAGAGGAGATCCGCCTCAAGGCGCTGCTCCGGCGGAAGCGGATGATGGAGCGCCGGAACCGCGATCCGGCGGAAGGCCACGAAGGCGACACGTCAGCGGACGGCGCCACGTCATCAAGGCGCGCGGGCCGGACACGCGCGCGCTTGAAGCCTCTCGAGAGCGGATCAGAGGCACCGGGAAGGCGCCGGTCCAAAACGGAACGGAACCGGAACAGCCGGGAGCGGAAGAGCAGGGCGAAGAGAGATGAAGTGGATCAGGTGCTGGATGACATCATTGGTGTCGTCAGCGCGGAGAGCGAGGTGGAGGAGCGCGGACTCCGGGCGAGGGCCAGAGCGGAACGGAAGCAATCGAGATTCGTACAAGCGCAGTCGAGCACGGAAGTGAGGGGCCGGGATAGAAGAACACCTCGTGAAGAGCGGAACGGGGGGAGCGGAACGGAAAGAGACGAAATGAAACGGAAGGAAGATAGAAGTCGCAGAGAAAGGTCGCGAGCAGTGGAATCACCGGCCAGCAGACACAAAGACACGTCATCATCTCCTAGAAGAGGAAGGGAAGACTCGTCAGCTTCGCCGGATCGACACCGGAAAGGACCGGTAGACTCCCCCGGCCGCGGGGCAGACCGTAACCGTAACCCTAACCCTAACCATACCCACAATCTGCCTAACCTAACCAGCCCGGGCTCCGTTCCCCGGTTCATGTCCCCGCTCGGCAAACCGCCAAACCCCCCAAACCCCGGTTCCGCGGCCGCGTCGCCAAAGCCGAGGCCGCCCAAGCCGCAAAATCACCAGGGGGGTACACCGACGGCGACCAAGCTGGCGGAAAAGGCTCTGCGTTTGCCCCGGTTGGTCGCCCCCTCGGGCACTTCTACGCCCCGGTCTATGGGCGGCGGGTCGGAGGCCGGGACGGCAACGCCGGGGGGTGGACCGCAGGCGGAGCATCCGGCGGCGAAGGCGTTGCGGGTAAGTCGGTTCTAACATTCCAGTTTTCTCTGTCTCTCGCATCGGAATCCTAGGACAGTTTTCTTAACTTGATGCATGTACGTGCGCGTCTTCTTTGACGTTCAAGCAACAGCGTTGCGGGTAAGTCGCAGTCGAAGCTGCAGAGCTCTTTTTTCGTATCGTAGATTTTAAAACAGTGTACTTGATCTGACTCGTTGTACATGCGTTTCTTCGGTGCGTTTGAAAGGAGAGTGTAAGGAGAAATCACAGATTTTGGGTCGCTTCTTGACCGACAGACTGAGGAATGTTGAGCTTGAAAGTGCGAGGTTGCCAGGGTTTGCGGTCCGCTCTCCGGCCGAATCTTGGAGATTCGCCCAGCGTATGAAGCGGACGCAAAGAGTACGTAATCAAAGAAAATCCTCTCGCAAGCAGGCCGTTGCAAATCGAACGTAGCCAGATCTGAGAGCGCATCCCTGAACCCACAATTTTGCTGTTGCAGATCCGCCGCGAGAAGCAGCGCCTTGCGGAGGAAGCCGCCAAGAAGCAAGCGGAAGAGGAGGAGCGGCAGCGGCGGAAGCGGTTCGAGGCGCACGCGGTCCGATTACGGGACGAAGCGAAGCGGTACCAGGAGCAAAAGGCGGCGCGCGAGAAGGCGAAGCTGGACGCGGAACGCAAGGCACGTGTCTTTTCGACCATTTTATTTCTGCTCGAAACCAGAATACCCTATGGGTTAACCCTGTAGAAGAATTCGAGGAGATGTGTCTCATCCTACTTTTCCCAGCTACCAATGGGGACGAAAAGGTCATGCACGAAATGGCGAAGCCGGACGCTGAACGCAAGGCACGTCGCTTGTTTTCGAAAGGATCTGCTGTTTGGATAGTCGCAATCAAAAATCTGTGACCGAGGTACGTTCCAAGTCGCCCCCTCTTGAAGACGAGTAGCGAGCAAGGACTTTCTGGAGTGCGTCTGGGACAAGACTGACACTACACATCCCTTCCGCGTGGCTTAGTGTGCCGGCCTTGAAGACAAGGGAAAGCGATTTACCTTTGAATTTCGCAGTTCCTTTGCCGTGAACATGGGCCGAAGTACAAGTTACTAGAATCACTTGTTTTTGCAGTGTTTAAATCCATTTCCATTTGAATCCTCTCGAGCTCGAATGCCCACACGTTCTTAGTCAAGCGCCGTCGTTAGGAACACCGTCTCAAACACAAAATGTTGTTGAGAACGAGCAGAAGATCCCACGAGAACGAGGGCTGAATCAAGCGCCCTCCTAAGGATATGCAATCCTCTGATATGACAAGTCACTGAAGCAGATCCTTGCTTGATCCGCAGGCCCGAGAGGACAAGGTCCGGCAGGAGAAGGAGGCGACGGAACGCGAGCGGAAGCGGAGGGAGGCGGAAAAGGACAAAGTGCGCGCGTTCCGGGACGCGGAGCGCGAGAAGGAGGCGCGCAGGAAAGAAGAGGAGGCGCGAAAGGTGCGAGAACTGATGCTAGGAGAGTCGCATGAAACAACTTTCTGGCAGATTCTGTTACTGACGACAGAAGGTCTTGTGGTCTTTCTGGCTGGATGACGGCTGTCAATCCGAGAAAAGCTGCCTCCATGGTTGGAAACCCGTCAATCTGTGTGGTTGGATGAAAGCTGGCAATTGCAATACTTTCTTTTATCGAGTCCGTTGTGACGTGGAGCGGTCAAGTTTCTTCTGGAGGGATGCGTATGGAGTCGAATGATAGGTCAATCCCTTAGTACTAAAGAGTGGTTTCGTCATTCCCAATGGGAAGGCCTGTGTCTCAGGGGAACCAGGTCCCTTTCAAAACTACTTGGGAAAATGCAATGTGTAACAAGCGTATATGCTAGGACCAGAGTCTTGGGGGGCCTACGCGCCAGGAACGAGTCGCCTCAATCAAGAGGGGCACACAACATGCTACGGACTGGCATCCTTGCCTCCCCTGTTACCATCCTTCCTTATGCAGCCGCTTTAAATAGAGACAGATGGGAGATACCTGAGAATTGTATGCCGAAGCAAGGGCCGCCTGAAAAGCACCCCTCTCTATGTTCGATACATTACCCACGTTTTCTTGCAGCCTTTGACGATTATCTGAACTTCCTCTTCCCGCAGCTTCACGAGGAAGAACACAAGCGGAAGGAAGCCCTAAAGAAGTACTTGGAAAAGCGAGGGACTCTTGGGAAGGACTCGTCCATGGCCGGGACACGGTCGCCGAGCATGGCGTCTCAAAAACCGGGCGGATATTCGCCTTTTAACACCGTAGGGCGGGAACGGGACGAGAGGGGTCCGAGAGCGAAGTGGGAACGGCTACCCCCACGGCGAGTGTCAGGGACGGGAAAGGCGGTGGATGATACGCTGAGCCGTCTTATAAATGATATACTGTACTGATAGGCTATTGGAAAATGCTGTACGCAATCACATCCAGGAAGTGAGCATTGAAAGCGACTCTATAAGTCTCTTACTGGAAAAGGACACAAGTGCTGCACATTTCGTGGCGCGTATGATGAACAGAAAGCGAGATATAGATACGGATGAACGGAGAAGGACCTCGCATGGGTCCTCTGTGCATAAAAGAAAGACACTGGGATTGGTGGAAGCCGAATATACGTGGTCATGCAATATGGTTCTCCTGGCCGGCCCGTCGCACGTGCAGAGGACCTGCAGGGCCTCTTTTGGGGTCGGTCCACGGGCAAGGGCGACGGTGCGCTTATTACTGGAGTGCAAGTCAATCGAGCGTGCACTGTCCTGTCGGATGAATGTCGAAGCAGTCTGTGGAAGAAACGCTTTCAGCAGGTCAGTGCAAGGACACACGCGGCCGCGCACACCTACTATAAGCATTGCATGATCAGGCCGTGGATTGATCAGACTCCGCTTATAAGTTGCACCCGCAAATTGCACGATGTATTCCTCATTGCTAAAGAATATTTGGACTCGGGACATTGAGTTGCCTCGATTGGTGATCGAGGACTTTGGGAGTCGAGCTCGCGTCGATCTGCTGCGATGTTAAAGAATTGTTGCGACCTTCAACCCCGTCGGGGCGTTAGGATATAAGACCGTGTTTTCGCGGCCAATTTTGGCATCCGGCACCTGGAGCTTTTGCAACTTGACCGAGTGGCAAGCGCGCTCGCCATGAAATCAACAGGCCCTGGCTCGAATCCGGAAACTTTGACATTTTGCTCTCATTTGCCCCATCCTTTTTGTGCCCTTTTTACGCTGACGTAGGACGACGTCACTAGTAGAGAACCGCGGTATCCACTGGTACCATACCTCGGGACAGCCTCCGGTCCCTGCTCGGATGCCCAGCTTCGGTCGGTACCGCAGTGCGCTGGACCTTGAAAGGTTTCGTACCGTGTCAAACAAATCAAGCCCGTAGCCGTCCGATGACAGTTCTCGAGTCCCAATCTCACCGTCCGCCCGAGGTGTCCATGCATGGCCTACGCCCACTTTAAGGCGGCCCGGAGCCGGCCGGGTGGCATGCAGAGCATATCAGCAGGTCGGATACGTAAAAGAAGCCTGGGCTGTTCCTGCAGCTGCCCATCAGTTCTCCTGCATCAGTTCTCCTTAGTAAAGTTGCCGGCCGTCGGCCGACTGACACCTAGGCCCGATTATACACACGGCGCGTAGGTATGTGCCGTACGACCAAGGTATGATTCCGAATAAATAATTAATTATCTGCATTCGGAAAGTTGGATACTCCGGATAAGCATTCGGATTCTGCTTTTTCGGAATCCGAATATAATTCCTAAATCTCATTCGGAAAGTGATTTCAAGGCCCTATGAGACCGCGGTACGTACCTTTTGCGGTTATAATGCTTTAGAACAGAGGTACCGAGGTACCTCTCGGACGATTCCGATTTAGGGTCGGAAAGTGGAAAATAATACATGATTTGGGCTCGCATTTGCTAAAATGATTGCTTTTTTCGAGCATTCGGAATCATACCTTGGTCGTACGGTACGTCGTATAGCATAAGTAGGCGGAGTCCGATATCCGGACCGTCGCGCGCCGCCGGCCCCGGCCGCACGCGGCTGGGACAAAGTGGCGGCGGGTTTCAGGGATTTACTTTCGGCTTTTAGGGTTTGTCGATTGGAGCGACAGCTCGTTAGCATGGAGCTGTGGAGGAGCTCAGCTGTTGCACACAGCTCGCAACGCAATTCAGGGCGCCAGAGCTGCTTCAGGGCCTCTTCAAGTTCAGGCAGACGACGATTTCGCAGCAGTCTCCTACGAGCCTGAGAATCCTGCAAGGAAGGTTGGAGCAATCTTGGCAGCGAGCAGGATGCTTCGCTCAGCTTGTAGTTTACTGCGCGGAGTTGTGTTGCGAGCGCAGCTCAATGAAGAGAAGGTGGGATGGGGTTGGGCTGTAGGGGGCAATTGTGGCGATCTGACCGAGTTTGGCAGGGAGTTGGACCAACCTGCTATCGGAAAAAGGGCAGAAAGTAGGCATCTGCATGGGGTTGCATGGGTTTCTGGAAGCATGGGGGCTGGAGCACGCGGAGTTGATAGGAGGAGGAACTTTGGTAGCTCAACGGAAGCGGGTGGAGATGCAGATGGGGTGAAAGAAGGTGGCAGCACAACTCTGAAGGTGAGGCGTCCATCCGTAATTGGTTACATCATCGTATTGGCAGTTGAAGCCCGTTTAATACTTTTGAAAGGCATGCACAAGCTTGGAGACTAAGTGAACCTACCGGTCATGCTCAATGTATCCCGCCTGTTGCGGAGTCGCGTAATTCAGACTTGTGCTTTCAGGGATCAGCGTGGTTGCAGCCTTTCACGTGATTGTGTTTAGTTGCCATCTACAGCAAATTCAGAACATATCCTCAGAATCTATCGGCCAATCATTCTTTACAACCAATCAGCATACCACCGTGCATTCTCTTTTCTTTTCTCCTTTTCTCTTGTAAGGAGTCTGCCTGCAATCTACTTTTCAATACTTGTGGCCTGAGACGTGTGTTGTCATACTGCTCTCACTATCTTGATTGAGATCTCCCAATCTTTTGCAATTTCAAAGCACACATTCAAACCTGTCTCAAGACTTTGTTTTTGCTCTTTCAGCAAGCTTTCAAATTAGATAGCTTCCCTCCATCTCGATATCTTTTATGTGACTCCATATCTTCAATTGTGGTCGTTCGCTTTCCATGTGGAGTCCAAGGGCATTACAAAAGTCACATCCTCCTTGAGACCATCTGAGATTGACCCTGTTAGATTAGAAATAGATTGCTCTTGCAAAAGGGATTTGCAGACACTCTGTGCTTCATAATGGTAGGAGGTTCCTTGTGTTTCACATGTTCAGGCACCCAAATAAGTTTCGTTTGGGTTCTGTAAGAGATGTGCCGCCTGTCTGAGGAGCTCGCCCGCCTTCTGCCTGCGCTTGTTTGAAGACTTTTCAGAAAAGCCATGCAACCATGAAATTGGGGCCAGTCCAGGAAGCCAGCTTTGAAGCCCGGCAGTTGGGTCACTTTTTGAGCCAGGGCTCATTCTTTCAATGAAATCTGGTACAAATTACTTGAATTAGGAAGGCGAACTGAGACCAGAAAAGGTTAGGGGCGCTCTCAGCTTATTGGCTTTCGCGTCAATGCCAGCCATCTGGTCAGCTCAGGTTAGGTGATGTGCCATGCTGTGCCAGTTTGAATTGAGGTTAAACTCTCGGTTCTCGGTTTTTAATCGGAATCCATTGAAACGGCAGGCCTGCTCACCCTTTCCGGTAGAAAATTTTCTCTTCGTGACTTTTTTTGCTGTCTACTAGTCCTGGGAAAGGAGCTGCCTAAAACACCTTTCCCACCACTTACCACGAAGATTGGCATGTCCTTCCACGGGGGTGTCGTCTGATTTTTATATTTGTGCTGTGAGTGTGGAGCGTATACGATCAACATCAAACTTGCTTGAGGGGTTTTTGGGTAGGAACTTGCAGTCTGGCAGCTTCGTGATTTATGACGGCTCCCAACTGAGGCCCATCTACAACGTTGACTCTGTGCATGACCTTGTGTGACCATCAATATTTGCGTGCTCCAGGCTTTCATCCCTACGTCGTATTTGAAGGGCCAGGATGGTTCTCTCCCCTTGGCAGCAGTGTCATTTTTTTCCGCCAGTTCTGTCTGAGGCCCGATTTTATTTACACCTTTGGCTCCTCTGTTGCAAGTCAATGCTGCCGGACTTGACCATCCTGTTTCAAATATGCCCATCCGTTCCCACAAGTCTGCCATCTAATCTGTCCTTTTGCTCTGCGCTGCCGACCTAAGTTGGACTCGCCGTGCTAGTCTCGAGAGGGCCAAGGACGAACTGTGTCTTGGCAGCTTCGCCAGGCCGCATCCATTCTCATTTCGGAGGCCTTTCCCTACCTCAACATTTTTTTCTGCCAACCTGGTCACTTAGTTCAGTTGTTAATCCATTTTTGCGAATTGTCAGCTTCAGATGCGTGTCAACATGCACGTCTGCCAACGATTCAGTTGTCCTCCATGGTTGAAGCCATTCGGGCCAAACGCGGGCTCCACCGGCCCTTAAAGCAAATGCATGTTGCTGAAGAGCGGCAGCCCAATCTCGCTCAAAAATCTCAGAGGTTCCACACATGCATTAGCACCGAACTGTCGCTCCTCAACATGTTTCCTATTTTTTGGAGAACGACTGTCGAGGCAAAAGCGCTGCCAAGGAAAAAGTTCTTTTCCGTCACTTCGTAAACGCAGGGGATGGGAACGTCCTCTAAAAGGTACATTGCTTGTGAAGTCTAATGCACGTATGCTTGAGAATCAAGTTTGCCAGTAGGGGGCTTGGGCAAGGAGAAATTGCAGTCTGGCGGCTTCCGTCAGTCCTCCGCGTCCTCGGCGCGTTTTGAAGGCCTATTGTAACACTGGCTTAGCGCACTTCATTGTTGGACCGGCTCAATGTTCTGCGTGGTTTAGGCTTTTGTTTCTACGTTTCTTTGAGTGGGCCAGGACGCAACTCCCCTTGACATCCTTGTCAAGGCACCGGGGATCGAAATCGGAGGCCCGAACTGAAACGCTAATCCGCTCGAAAGTTAGAAAGTCTAGTTCGTTCGCAATCAACCCTCCATTCTCAGTCTGCTGATCTGTCCTCTCGGATCGCTCGTCGTTTCTTTCGCTGCTCCATTTTGCCGACCTTGTTGACCTTTTTCTATGGTTCGTCAAAAAGGGCGAGGACGGACTGTGCGGTGACAGCTCTGCCAAAAAGCCTTGGGTTCTGCGGAGGCCCTTTGATACTTAAAACCTATTGACTTTGCGGTCTGCCGACCTAGTCACTCACTCCGTATCTTGATTTGTCGGCTTGTGCTGGTCATCAACAGGCGGGTCTTCGGAGGACTTAGTCTTTCCTCGTTGGTTTCATCCGGTTTATCGCTCCGGTTTGCGATTTGTGACCCCTATATCAAGCGCGAGTTGCCGCGGTTTGTTGTATCACGGAAGTCTCTATCATTTGGTTTAGACGACACTTCAAGTAAGCGATCGATAGGACAGGCCAAGTTGCCAAGTACGGGCACGCCAAGAATGTGCGTAGATTGGCATGAATGCTTGAACCCTTCTTTCAATTATGCTCCTTTTGCAGAACCTGGCTTCGCTGGCGCTTTGCTCGACAGCATGAGAATTGGCTTGCATGCTGAAAGCGAAGAGCGGCAAATGAGAGTCCTTCGAATCCTCCACAATTTTCACAGATGCACACCAACCGTATTGTCTCTTTTCAACTTCCTTTCTATTCTGCAAACCGACTGTCGAGGAAAAAGCGTTGGCAAGGAAAAGGCTCCTTCTCGTCACTTTGTAATGATTCGATACTTGAGCAGTTCAAGTAGGTTCGGTTGAGTATAGTTGGCTCCAAGGGGGCTTGGACAAGGACAAACGGTGCCGTCTGGCGGCTTCGCCAAAACGGCAGGCTCTAGGTTGGACGCCTTGTTGTGACGTTGATTTAGGCACGTCTCTGTTTGACTGCTCCAATGTTCGGCTTGCGGGAAGGCTTTGTTTCTACATCTCAGTTATAAGGCCAGGACGACGCTCCCCTTGGCACACTTGTCAACAACTGTGAGATTAGAGGCCCGAACTCGAAATGATGTTTCGCCCAACTAGTTCCAAAAACAAATCTTGCCCATACTTAACCATGCCGTCCAACTTTGCTCAACTTTCCTCTCGAGTTTGCTCACTGGTTTCTGTTGCTGCTCAATGTTGTCGACCTTTGTTGGATCTGCTCTGGTTTTAAAAATATAGGGCAATGACGAGTTGGGCCTTGACGGATTTGCCACGCTGATGGGCGGCTGAACTTCAAAGTCCCTTAAAGTTCATTATACATAGTTCTGCGGACCGCCGACCTGGTGAAACATCATGGCTAGCCATTTATTACAGGTTGTCGGCTTCGTTGTAAGGTTCAGACTGCCTTCTGCGATTGGGTTCGTCTCCATCGGTCGGATCCTTCTTAATTGGTCCTTTGCAAATACGTGCCTAAATCCTGGCACGTCCTCTGATAACCTACCTTGTCATGCAATACATGCAACCATTAACTCGGAGGCCAAGCTCGATCGTCATTTTTCGCTCCAGCAAACGGTGCATTCCCACGTATGGCCGGTTGAAAATTGAGCTGGTTTAAAGGGGCTTGGGCCAGGACAGACTGCAGTCTGGCGGCTTCGCCATACTCTGGAGCAACTGGATGCCCAATTGTGACGTTTGATTCGTAGACGTCATTAGGTGACGGCTTAATATTCCAGATCCCTGTAAGCCTTTGAAGGGCCAGGACGACGCTCCCCTTGACATCCTTGTCACCACGTCAAAGGTCGAGTTGGAGGCCCACACCCAGAATCAAAGGTCGCTCAAACAGTCTATATTTGTACAGTCTGTATTTGTAAGCATTCCGTCTCAAGCTAGCTCATCTTTCTCATCGAGATTGTTTTACTGTTCTGTCTCTGCTTACCTATGTTGGAGAGTTCTTCTGCTTTTGCAGAAGAGGGCAAGGACGAACTGTGCCTTGGAATCGTTGCCAAGGCATGCTAGGATCGTGGGATGCCCTTGGCCGATGTTTCGTGTCTTGGCTCTTGTCCGCGAAACCTGTCCATGATTGCGACGGTCAAGAAACGCGTTGAACTCCGTTTTGCGGATCGTCGGTTTTGTTCTCAGAATGTGGTCTGCAATCGGATTGGTCTGCTCATCGGATTCATCCTATGAATTGGAATCTTCATTGATCAAAACGCGCTGACACGAAGCGCCATTTGCAGTCGCCTTGCTGCTATACACAGAGAGCCCATTGGAAATTGTTAAAGTGACTAACGGCTTGAGCGAAGTGTTATTTACGGGCACGTCCAAGCTGATCGCAGCAACGCTGAATGTCATTTCCCTCATGTTTGCAGAATGTTGGCTTCCTCGGCCTTTGGCGCGATTCAGAAGGCGGATCAGCCCGCTAAGTTTTGGAGCGCGACAAAGAGTTTGACATTTCTGCATCTATCTAGAAGGTTTTGGGAACCTCCATAAACGCGAAGTTACTGTATAGTCTTTCCTCGAATCATACTTTCTTATGAGTGCAGAACGTCGGCTTCATCGGCCTTGGCAATATGGGCGCCCGTATGGCGAGCAACCTGCTGAGCGCTGGATTCCGCTTGGTGGTTCACGACCGGAACGTTGCTGCTGTGGACGAGATGAAAGCGAAGGGCGCGCTGGAGGGACGGGATCCGGAGGAAGTCGCTTCGCAGTCAGATGTCGTTATCACCATGCTGCCGTCATCTCCAAACGTGAGTAGCTCCAACAGAGTATTTTCGAGTTACTTGGTTTCTGCTGATTACCCATCCGGTCCGATGTCTAAGACCGGAAGTTGGAAGCAGTGGTCGACATGAAAGCGGAGGGCGGAGGGATCCAGAAGAAGTTCTTTTGCCCTCGGACGTCGTTACTACCATGGCTGCCGTCATTATCAGCCGTATGTAAACAGAGTTTCGTTCATGTGCTTTCGGGCTCGTTACATTGACTTGCTTTCGAAAGTTGACCGCCACGGCCATTAGAACCAAAGCGTGCGGTGCAGGAAGTTGTTATGAAAGATTGCTTTCAGCAGATTTTCGTCGTCACAAGGTTTTGGTGATCTGCAGATCTGAGTAACTTACGGCCTCACCCAGTGGTTCAAAACCAACGCCTCCGGTCAGAGCATCATTACCGTTGTCAACCGCTCGTTAATCGTGGCCCGATTTCGTAACCACCCTCTTTAACCCCTCGTACAACCACCCGCTTTGAACGACAGGTAGATGACGTATTTTTGTGCCCAACGGATTCGTCCGGGTAACTTATGGCCTAATCCAGTGACACAAAACTAACACTACTGGTCAAAGCATCCTTACCGTTCTCAACTGCTCGTCAATATTCGCCGCTTTTCCTAAGCACCAGCTTTTAACCGCTTTGCTACCCACCCGTTTCGAACAGCAGGTAGAAGACGTGTTCTTGGGTCCAGCGGAATCCTCCGCTTATCTTTTGGTTTACCACGGTCTGAGACAGTGCTCCCGGTTACAGCATCTTTTCTGCCATTCACTGCTCGTCAAATTTCGCCGCTTCAGTTAACCACCCGCTTGTAACCGCTTCGCTGACCACCCGTTTCGAACGACAGGTCGTAATTGTGTACTTGGGACCTAGCGGGATTCTCCCATTCACTAATGGTTCGTTCTGTGACCAGCGCTCCCGATTCCAGCATCTGTACTGTCTTCAGGAGCTCGACCATTTCGGCCCCTTACCTTAACCAGCCGCTTTAAACCGCTCCGCTAACCACCCGCTCTCAACGACAGGTAGAAGACGTATACTTGGGGCCCAGCGGAATCCTCCGGTCAACGCACGGCTACTCGAACGTACGGCCAGTTCTGTTGATCGACGCGTCGACGATAGACCCAATGACGACCAAAAAAGTGGCGGCGGCGGTCCAACGAAGCAAACTCGCCGATGAATCAAGTAAGTGCAATCTGAGGTCCTCCAAAAGCACCCCGGACATTTGCGCTTCTCACCTATGCGTTCCCTTGCGCTTCCGGCAGATTCGGTGATTGAAAGAGCCTTTACAAACGGACAGTGGAGAAAAACCTTGACTGCAATTATCTCTTCGCATCGACGCAATGCGCTGCTTGTTCTCGTCGCTGGAGATTTTCGTTAATGTGAAAGACTTCAATACAGGCGCGCTTCGCATTATCATCTAGTATCAAACGTGGTTCTTCCTTTCAGCGGCTCCGTCATAATCCTGCGCAGCATCTTAATCCGATGGAACTTACTCCGATTTGCACGCATTAGTCCACATCTGACCCCTTGATTTACTTTGCTTTGTTTTCACCAATGTGCTTGCTTGCTTCCTGTTGCAGAGCACCTAGACAGCCGGTGGCACCAGCCACTATTGCTAGTCACGCCAGTCTCTCGGAACATCGCCGGGGCGAACAGGCGACCCTCACCTTCATGAAAGGCGGGGAGATCTGTTTCTACATTTCGTCATTCATGCGCTCTTCGTTTTCTTTTGCAGAGTACTTAGATAGCCGGTGGCACCACCCGCTGTTGCTAGATACGCCTGTCTCGGGGGGCATTGTTGGGGCGGAAAAGGCGACCCTCACCTTTATGGTGGGCGGGGAGACGGTCGCCCTCGACGCCGCCCGGCCCTTCCTGTCAGCAATGGGGAAGAGCATCGTTCACTGCGGGAGCACGGGTAGCGGACAGGTAAGAAGCTTTAAGTTAGGTCTCTCGATATTTTCGTGTCTACCTGCCGGAGAAGACAGTCTCTGTTGAGCACTTGCACAATGGATAGTTCTGCTGCAGTTCTGAGCCGTCATGGCAAGAGTTAGATTCCTTTCGCTGTTGGCCGTAACTGCGTTCTTCCTCGTGGCGATACGAATCTGATCACCATCGTTCTGCCCCCGTTCTGCTTTCTCATGTCTCATTGTGGCTAACGTTACCGTCCACCCCGGCTGCTTTTTGGACTGGCCGAGGTGGAGCGTTTACTGCTTGCAATCTCGTTGGTCCTTTACATTAGACGTATTCACAGCGTCGTCATCTAGGACGCTCTTCATGCCATCACTTTCGCTCTGGTATCCAATACGTCGATTGAAAACGCCGTTTTTGACTTTGCGCTCCGCGTGGCAACATGGCCGCCGCAACGGCCGGCAAAACTGTCGGCGTTTGTTCGCATGTCACACTACAACATTCCGCCCGTGTTATCATTCCCCCCGTCATCTGCTCGGCGGAGCAAAGGAGACTTGTTACGGGTTCGAGCTAGGCGCCATTCTGTGTCGTTTTTGGCGTGTAGTGAAACTACGGTATGCTCCTGGTCACGGGTTGGTTTACCCTTCTTTATGTCCGTGGCAGGAATTCTGACGCCATGGGACGTTGTCGCCCACACACTCACGGGTTGAAGTGATGCTGCTAGCGTAGGCTAATGATGCAGCATCCGAAAGCTTTCCTAGTCCATATTCTGCTGTTCCTAATTGTTTTGCTCCGGCCCTTAAAATCCGCACTGCAAAGCTCAGCTCTCGTTATTCGCAAAGGAGCGGAGATGAGCTTACATTGTCGAGAGATTGGACCAAAGAAATTGCCGGTTTGCGAGCCCCTCGTTCCTGGCTTGAGCATGTGCTTAATCCTTGCTCAATCTGCTGGGCCGGTCCTGGTGATCGAACTTTCCGGTCTATACATCCGATCTCACGGCCTGCGGTAGCTGCCAGGCTCCTGTAGTTCCCGTTCTTTCTGATCCGACCATGTCGATGAGTTTCGAAAGATCATACGTCCATGTACTGCTTTATAATCTGCTCAGGTGCTCTGGCGTTGTGCATGTGACGAATCCCGTCCTGATTCCCGTTTCTTCGCATCGCCCTTGCGTTGTCCTTTGGTCTGCGCACAAGGTGCACCACGTTTTGCCCTTGTAGACAAACAGATCTGTTGGCAAGGCAAGGCAAAACCTTGGCCACGCTCCGATGTAAGGAGATGAGCGGGCTTTCTTCGGAACTCAAAAGTTTAATATCACGAAGGACGATATTCGTCCACATACCTTTCTCCAAGCTGTAGACATCAAGCAGTAATGTTTAGTCTCGCTTCCCTGGGTCATGCGCTCCTTCCTTCTAGCGCTGGTTATGTTTTGTCTTCGCTCGTAATGTGAATCTGGCCGTGAAGATATCCCGTCCGTTCGCTGGCCACTTGAGCCAATTGCGGTAGGGATTTGAGTCTGAGGCCACTAGCCCTTCTCGTCGTTCATCCATGCTTTGGTACGGGCTTGATTGTGTGACTCTATGTGTTCTTCACTTTGATCATAGATGAAGCAGCACCTTTGGGTTCTCAATACCCTACGATTCAATGCGCTGGATTCCAATCCGCGTCACAGTGTTGCACAGAAGCTTTTCGGTCACTTCGCCTCTTTGTATGGAGCACTCCAGCGGAATAACCGGTTTGCATCCCTGATCGCTCACACACAGCCACCGCAAGAGTGCTTTTGTAAGGAGCCCACTTTGCTTTGATGTGCTCATTGTTGAGCTTTCGAACGCAGTCAATTGGCGCTCTCCCTGGGCCAGAAGCTATATCATGACCATTATGTTAATAGTGCTGCATCTGTGCAAGGGCAAGCTGGGAGCTTTTTGACGCCCATCTTTCCGAAAGCGCGCACTTTCAATGATGAGGCCTGGCACTGGGGGCCCGATGCGTTTTTCTGATCGTGATCACTTTCCGAATCAATCCAAGTGCCGTATACAAGTCTGCAGCAGAAGTTACCACTTTATTCTGCCACTTTGTCTTTCCAGACGAAGAGAACGTTTTGGGCTCTTCAGAATGACTGAGACTCTCATCCGTGACAGATTACCGCAGCGACTCGTTTGAGTCGGACGTCGTTCTTCAATGCTCTCACACTTCTACTGAGACGTCCAAAAGGTTCGGCAGACTTTATCTGATTACGCTTTGTAAGACTGTACCGAATAAGATGGCTTCTTACGTTGCTGAAGCTTTGCCTATGATTAGCAGCGGAACCGCCGCAAAAGTCTTGCGGCGAGGTGGTCTTTAAAGTGGAGATTTGTTGAAGATGGTTGTCTTCTGTTGTTTGAGGATGAAGCGTGTCCGGTAGCAGTTCTAGCCGGAGCTCTTGAGGGCGCGAGTCGATGCACTGCCAGCATAAAAATATAAGCGTTTCAGGACGGCAAAGCTTGGAATGATGTATGTTTTGGTGTAACCTCTTAAATTCAGAGGTTTTACTATGTGTCGGCAAGTAGTGGTGTTTCCATGGGGACGTGTATTCTATCTGCCCCCAGTCGAGCTTTGTCTTGTATGACGCCGGCCCAAACTTCACTCTGCAAACCAGAGAACCACTTGGAAAAGCGAAAGTGTTTGGCAGGTGTTTGGCTCCCGCTTCTTTCAGCCACCACGTGTTCTTTTGCATTCATGGTTGTAGAATTGTATGGCGACATCTTTTGTGACTGTCCTGCCCTGCATCCGTTTGCCTCTTTTTGCCAGGCAAGATGGCTCGTGCACTTTTTATGTGGCTTGCGCATTGGAGGTTGTGGCAGTTGCCTTTGAGGGTGTTCAGCTTTTACTGAGTAGACGTGTCGGACATCTGCTCACTTCTAGCTAGTCAAGCCAATCTGTGCTAGTATTAAATTTGGCCTTATGCTTGTTCGAACAATGTACCCACGACTGTCATGCATGAAAACACATCAATTGCCGCGGACATTGTCCTTTCGGCTCTCAAAGCCTCGTGAATCTTTTGAAGCGACTGTAGTGCAAAGAGCGGGGCAAAGACGAGCTGCGAGTGTTTGGCCGGTCGAACTTTCCCCATAAGTTGGCCAACAGTGTATGGTAGATGCCTCTGGTGCGGGTTTGACACTTCCTTTCTCTAGGCGCCGGTTCGAACTTGAAATTGCAAGGAACTTCCGCATGTAGTCGAAGCACCCCGCACCCATGCTTAAGTCCGTAAATCAGTTTTGTTGGCGTAGCATTCTGCTGCGATACGCTTCTTGGCGGATTGGAGCCTTTGTGGAGATGACTTTGTCGGCTTGCAGCTGTCGAGTGCCTCTTATTGCAGCAAATGCTTCTCAAAGCGCATGACAAAACGAGTCTCGCTCATTGGGTTGCTTGGACGAAAGGCCCGCTTCTTGAACGATAAGAGGACGGAAGATATATGTGTTGACAATCAAAAACTAGCTCGTTACCTTTTAGAATCATTTTACTACGTTGGCAGCACGTTCCCGGCGGTGTTTGCGACATTGTGTAGTCTGCGCGGAAACATACGCGCAGAAAAGGATGCTAGCAGTCGATTCCGATGGAAATTGCAAGGAATTTTCTTGGTCTGGTCTAAGTCCCACCTCCTCGTTGGCACCTCCTCTACATAGCTTCCCCTAACATCATTAGTTGGGCGGAGACTCCCTCTTCATAACTTCCCCAACATCATTATTTGGGCGGTATGTCTGGATTCCTACAACCTTCCGCCAGCGGCCAGGATGCACACCGCGTCTGAGAGCTATGAATAGTCTTAGCGGCTCACTTGGCGATTGATGAAGTGCCCGCTCCATCCAAGCTAGTCATGCTGAGATGTCTCGATCAAGAGTCCCACAGGATGGCACAACCGTGGTCAAACAACGTGTCCTGTAATCAATTTGAGAGATCTTTCAAGTTGCTGTGACTCCTTTCCTTAGTTTGAAAGCGGACGCTCCTTTGCTGCCTTGCGGAAAGAACGAAGTAAAGCCGACAAGAAAGCAAACGCCAATTAAAAGGATTCGCGTTAAGGGCAAGTGTTGCTGGTGTTGCTGGTGCTCAATGGTTCTGGGATGTAACCGATGGTGCGGCTGCTTATTTGGCAAAGTCTACTCAGCAATGATGTCGCGTGCAATTGGGACGCCACAACGTTAACGTGGCGGCTCAACAATCGTCAACTCCCTTTGAAGCTGTTGTTTTCTTATGGGTGTTGTCGTCTATGGGCTGACGAAATCCTCCTGACTGATTTTTGAGATTTCTGCACGTAGTCCAATCGTGCCTGTCTCGGGCAGGATGGGTTGCAATTGTTTTACAGTATGAGATCTACGTGACATTATGACCGCCAGGGAAACCAGCAGCTGTTGAGAATAGTACGTACATAGCTGGTTTCACCAACTTCGAGCTCAAGACGCCCTTGCGGACTTCACATGTATCATATAAAAGGGGCACCTTATCTCAGCGGTAATGTTCAGACACAACGTTCACGGTATCGTGCAAAGCACTCGCGTTAGCACACCACCACTAACGGTTGCACACCCCTTGCGCTGAAGTAAAGAAGGGCCGTCCAGGGATTGCTCGATCATCTGGTGCGTCTGCCCTTGAATTCTCGGTTAATTCATGATAGCACTTTTTGCAGCAGGGGCCGTGGTAAAAGTGCGTCCGTCTGGTCGAATAGTGTGTCGACGCATGGCAGTTCCGCGTCTGGCGCTTTGACGCTTGCAGCCTGCCTTTCTGGCAGGGGTACGGCTACTGGCTTGGTGCCTGCTTTCACGTGGAAAAGACAGGGAGGATTGAGGTGGTCGGGACGAAACTGGTGCCCAAGCCCTTCTACTGTGGCCCACGCATGCTTTGGATTCTGCCAACGGAACGCACAAGCGTTCGCAAAGCCATTTCAACCACCTTGCTGTCGGTGAAAACGCAATGTGTCTGGATATTATGAGGAAAAAGTTGTAATGGTCGATGGTGAAGCACTATCGCAAGGATGAGGTGACCGGTTGCAGGGCTCTTTGTAGCTCAGAGTAAGTGCTGGACTATTCTGACTTGGAAAGGTCGACACAGTCTTTTTTGAAAAGCCTTCTTTTAGGTTGATTGTCTCCTGTCCAACAGGTATTCAGCCTGGCGGTCGGAGCTTTGGGTCAGGCTAGGAAAGTGCTGAATTTGAGAAACGGGGCCATCGGTCTACTTAGTGTGGACGTCGTACTTGGTGATGATTTACCGTGGTAAAGCTTGGCAACCTGCTCATTTGAGAGCTGTGAGCGCCCTCTCTCCCTTGCAAGTTCACGCGGCCATTTCGAACCTGCTCGTGCTTCGAAACGCTCTGCCTCGATCGTGCGGCTAGGATACTGGTCTTGGTGGAACCGCGTGACTCTTGTACGGCTCAATGCTGCTTACCCCGATCCTGATGCCGCCCACCTTTTGATGGGGACAATATGCTTAAGCACATGTCAAGCGGCACCGTTTGATGGCTGCATTAGCGGAGCTATACCTGAACCCCGGCGTTGATACTTGCATCTGTTTGTGATTTTGCAATGGAACCAGCCCGAACCAGGAACTATCCGTGAAATCAAAATCTTGAACCGTCTCCTATTTTAATCATTTATTGTTCCCGCGCCAACACGTTATCTTGCGCTCCGTCTCCGATTTTAAGCCTTTTAAATCCAGTTAAGGCAACGTTTTGCCCACCATATCGTTCACCAGTTGATGCTTCCTGTCTTGGGAGACCTGTAATTGAACAGGTTGTCTAAATTATTCGCAAGTACAGTGGTTTAGTTACAAGACCCATAAAAGTAGAATCAAGAGCCCAGGAGCGGGCTTTTATCTACACCTCGCATTACATACTTTGCAGCAAGAATGCTAGTGTGTCATTGAGCTGCTTAGACTTCTGCGCGGCTCATTGATGTTACGCTTGCGCACTGATGCTGTCGAGATTCCCGTGTTCTAAAGAAGCGCTCGACCATGAGAGGTCGGCAGTTTCTGCACTTGCTTCGTCCAACATTGGCGACCCGGACTGGTAGCTTATTCTATGACCGGATACGCAAGGCCAGCAAGCATGCCAGTCTTGGAATCCTTGTACGGAAGAAAGTCCGTTCTTCACATGATGACGAAGAAAGGGCAATGCTGTCTATGTACGATGTAGTGCTGCTGTTTTTTGTGCTATCCAAGTGCCTTGATGTACATGCTAGGATTGTTCATCCACCTTTCTTGGTTGGAATAGGACGGCACCAACCCAACTCTGCCAGCTGCGAGTCACACCAGGTTCGTTTACGTGCTCGAACGTGTTTGAAGGAGACGACGACCACTTTCTCGCATGCGAGACCCTAAACTGTCAGGTTGTGAAGGCGTGTCGACTGTACGTATGTGCGTGTATGTGCTGAGAGAGTGCACCCAACTGTTATTGTTCAGCCATAAGAAACCCCTGATCTATGGTCAAAAAATTGGCATTTGTTTTTGGGGCATCGTCGCGGATGCCCAACGCTCTATAAGAGCATCCTAAGAATGTTATGCGGAGTCCACGCTTGCATGCAAGTGCGTAAGGACTGTCCGTACGGCCGTCCCTCGTGATGGCTTCGCCTCATCTGTGCATAGTTAGCGCTCAAAGCTTCGTAGCTCAAACCCCGAATGTCTCGTAGGACTGGCAGCTAAGAAGGTCAGCGGGACTGGGAACGGAAGATCTTGGCGGCCCAGAGGACTCGCGATGTCATCTGATGCTGCATACTCGCCGAATTGCTGTTAAACAAGGTGCTCCAAGTATTGTTCTTGATGTACTAGGACCGCTCGTACGCTTTCTTGTCTACCCTTGCGTGATGTGCCAATAATTCAGCACCGAATCGCAAAAGTTTTCTGGCTAGTTTTGAACTCTTGACAGGGGCATTCACGTCCCACGTGGGTCTTATGCACCTAGGTTTGTATTGAAGCGCAGCATGCCGCAACGCCTGAGCTAGGCAGCCGCTTAGTGATTACGCGATCCAAGCAAGAAGTTAACCCCCTGTTTTTCATATCCTCTGAAGATTTTGTTGTCCCTCAACATTGCATTCTCCACCTTTGGCTCGGTTCCTCCTTCGGCTTCCTCTTGTATAAGAGCTGTTGTCCGGATTAAATCATGAGCTTTTGGAACACCTTGGAAAGATTTTGTTGGGGAGCTCTTGATCTTCTCAACATCCGGTGTCTTCTTGTACGACGTCGCACGAAGTTTGAAAGCCCTTCAATTTTGAAGACATGCAAATAGCAGTGAGGACGTAATGAAAAGTGGGTCGCTGCTAATCCAAGGCGCTCACGCATATGGTCTCTGTGGCTGTTGGAAGACAATTTAGCAAGCCCATTGCAATCTGGAACGGGGCTGCTTTCAACACGATAAACTTTCCTGCCACATTGCGCTGCTTTTTGGGTCCTCGTTTTGGGCCGACCTTTTGCATTCGGTTCAAAGTTAGAGCGTGTATTTTTTATCGGAATCTGCGAGGTCGAGATATTCGCAGCAAAAACATGGCATTCGCCGAGGCTGGACTTCTTAGCGGCTTTCGGTTAAGAACTTGACCTTGCTGCGGTCGCGGGCAACCGGTCGAGAACCTTCTTCCGATCGTCTTGTGGCACCTGCTTTCCGGTCTGGTTCGGGCCGTGGTTGGGAAGATTGAGGACCAACATTCAAGACTGGAACAGAAAGAAACTGCAATGATCGAAACTGCATGGTCTCGTGGTTGTTATGAGTGTCATCTACAAGCCTACTACGTGTGCCATAGTTTTGCACCGGTTGACGTTGGACAACTGAGTCATTCATCAGAACGGGGGGCCAAATCCCGATCCATGAAGGTTTTGGGGGCCCCTCGAGTTTAACGTCAGCGCTTCAGACCGCTTTTTGCAAACAGCAGGTTGTTTGTTCATCTCATCTGCAGGTTGGCAAACTGTGCAACAACCCCGTGCTCGCCATTGAAATGGCGGCGGGTGCAGATGCCCTCGCGCTGACCCAATACATATACACTTCATCTGAAAAATGCATGCTTTGTATGGAGACTATTATTGGAGAGACTTGCATTCTGTGCAGGTTGCGAAGCTTTGCAACAACCTTGCGCTCGCCATCGAGATGGCGGCTGTTGCGGAGGCCCTTGCGCTGGGCCAGAAACTAGGCGTCGACTTGCGCGTGTTGAGCGGGATCTTCAACACGTCGTCAGCGCGGTGTTGGAGCAGGTGAGGCTCCAAAATTTCTGATTTGATGTATTCTGTGCTTTACCATCGGTCAAAACTGAACTCCCGTTGTCACTTTGCTGGGCGGACCTAGAAAGCACCTCCTGATAATCCCGAATGTTCTTTGGCGACAGTTCTGAACTGAGTTTTGGACCCTCGAGCAACTGAATAGCGCCAGTGGAAAAGCGTAACGTAAAAGCTTTTATACCCTTCTTTGGGCATTCGCATCTTTCCTGTCGCATCGTACGTATGCTTCTCAACTGCCTCTTCTGAATCGACACTTGTTATGTCTTCGGCTTTGAGAAGCTCGTGTGCAGTTTCCAGTGGTTTGGAGCAATCTGGATTTTGGAGCGGTCGTATTCAGGATCACCTTCCGACGTTTCTCCTGGCACGTTGCAAACAGCTCAACGCTCTCGACATGCTCCACCCCTTCAGCATGGCCTGATTGCGGCGTTCTGTTTTCTGGTCGTGTTCACAGGGAAGGCCGAAACCGTCGTACTGACGTCAGCCTCCTCTCCTGCCTGCAGTGATACGTACAACCCGGTTCCGGGGGTCCTGGAAAACATCCCCGCTTCTAGAGGGTATGGGGGCGGCTTTGCGACGCGATTGATGGTGAGCTAATAATCGGGACTTATGCGCAGCATTTCCAGTTAATTGGAGCGGCAGGGTGTACTCATGCCGCACGTGGTTTTTTGTAAGAGATGCATGTTTCGTGCGCCTCGGTTGTGATGTCTGAACTGAAAGTTGACAGTTTCGTGGTCCGAAGGCTGTTTGATGCAAGTCTGCTGTTTGACCCAGGCGCCCTTTTCCAATAAATATTCTAGAGCTTCGCTTGAAGGAAATCTTCTGCTCGGGCACCTCGCAAGCTGTACGCCAGAAGAACGACGTCGCTTCTTTGACCTGCTTTTTGTCCCCTCGAGAACCTTCGCGCACCTCTCTTTCGTAGAGAAGTCGAGCCAAGCACTCATCTCAGATCAATTCAGGCATGTGCCGGAGGAGACTTAGAGCCTAAGTCCTCTTCTTTTACATTCCGGTTGGATGAGAATGTCGTATACAAGCAGGGCATGATCATGTGCACGACTTTAAGCAAAGGCTGCAGCTTGACCGTTAGCTGAACATGTGGTTTCGTCGACCCGCAGGTGAAAGACATTAGCCTTGCGTTGGCGGCTGGAAAAGAGGCGGGGGCAGTAATACCCTTAGGTGCAAAGGTCCTCGAACTGTAAGTCACAGTGTTTCGAAATTTCCTGTTTGAAGTCCTGGCCCTTTTTCTTTTTGACATCCTCTTCGTGCACGGTCGCTGCTTGAGATAGAAGAATTGATGCTCCCAATCAAATACCCACTGTCACTGACAATCGGTCAATCTGTCGGTGGCTTTTTAGTTAGAGAACAACACTTCATATGAGCACCGCCAGCCTACGCAGGAGCGATACTTTGCGTGTCGTTTTTGGGGATGTATGCCTCTGCTTCGATCGCAAGCAAGCCGGCCCCGCATTCTTTGTCATTGCCAGCCTCCTTCAGTTTTGGCTCCTCTCTTCAGTCTATTGAGGGCTTGGGTATGCAGTCCTCATTTCATCGTTGATTTCTTGTGGCCACGGTTCTCCATTCAACGTTTAAGGCGCCCAAAGTAGGAAAAGTCTTAGCAGCTTAAATCACCCTCAAAACCTCGTGTCGAATGTGCTTTGTGAGCGGTCTCTGCCCTCAAGCAAAGTTCTAAGAAAGTCACGAACAGATTTTTGACCGCTCTCCTAATGTGCAGGTACACTAGAATGATTGACGGGGGCGCTTCATCCAAGGACTTTTCCGCTATATACGAGCACATATACGGCGGTGCCGGCGTTTCGCCGGCTCCCAAAACGTCACCAGACAGCTCACAAGCAGGGCATCCAGCTCCTATAGCAAGTGACCGATAACGTAGGCTACTCTCGAGGCAGACCAGTTGCAGCGGCACCTTAGACAAATTAAGATGTTAACCTTGAACTATATCCTGCTCCAAGATCGTTTGGGCGATCTCCTCTTCGATCCGTCAGTCAAAGGTTGTCTACTTTTCTATGAGCATTTGGCCGCTGAAGATGCACGAGCAACTGTATCCGATTCCTGCACTGCGTTTCCCGTATGGTGTCAGTGTCGAAACCCAAAAGATTGATTGTCAAGGGCCAAGATGAGGTGACGTCCAGCTCATCATGAGACAGTCGGTCTGGTCAGTACCTCTGACGCCCTGACAATTTCCAATCCTCCATTTTGGACTTATTTTTGCACTTTCTGCAACGCGTTCGCCTTCCTCGACGATTGCGTTGCTCCGCCGCTGCGGCTATTCGCTCGAAAGGGGTGCTCCAGGCGATGGAGAGACTGCCCAGCAGGTCGGACTTCACTGTATTGCTTCCGTACAGGCTATCTTTTCCTCATGGCCTCAGAAATCATTGGTCGAGACTCCTGTTGCTTGGCTCTAAGTCTCGTTTCCACCTCGTTATCAGATAAGAGAATTCCTGTGTCGGAGTCCGCTTCTCTACGTACAAGGCCAGCAATCCGCGCTCGAATTTGCTTTCATAGTATTCCCCCGCAGCCGCGAGTTTTCACTCGAATTTGGGTCGAAACGTACTCAACGCACCTTTTTCTGTTGTGGAAAAACGGCTTGGTATCCCCATCTGGTTTAGCATGATGCTTGTCTCTCAATCATATTGGGCGGTGACAGCGATCTCGTGTTGGAAACAAAGACGTTTCTAACAAAACCTTCCTCGAGGCCTGATGACGCCGAATGCGATTTCCCGTTACTCAGATATCGGAAACCCGTCTTATCGAGCAGACGTTCGTAGATTTCTGGTTTAGCTTGACTATTGCTTGGGACTCGGCTAGGCTTCCACAAGAGCCGGGCAATGAAAATTGTCTCACGTTGGAAATCGAGTACGACAGTGTCCTTGGGTGGGACTGGGATTGTGCTGTACTTGACGCCCAATGGTCGGGCGTCCGCATCAATCTGCCTCTCTGAAAGCACCTTTGAAAAGCCCGAGCTTTTCTTGGTTTTGGTCCGATGCTTGGCATCTATCATGGGGTCGGGCAATGACAAACGTACCACGCTGGAATTTGGAACGGTTCTAGGAGGAAGTCAATGGGTTCTCATGACGCCCAGGCAACTCGCGTCCTGCCAATTGGTTCTTGGTTCTTCGTTTCGAAAACGTACGGTCAAATTGAATGAATTTGAAGCCTGTTCTGTGCCTAAACTCACGGTCACTCTGGTCGGTCACTTAGGCTAATTTCTCTTTTGTCGATCTATCCATTGGGGTGTGCTCATTTCGTCTCGCCTCGCAGCCGCTACAGCCGCGGAAGGGCCGTAGTACGGTTTCAGTTGGCAGATCAGACGCAGGATCTGATGCGAAAACTTGCATGCCACTGGGTAGACGAAAATGTCCCACCTCGAACATTTGGGATCCTCTTGGAGATTTGCACTCAAATCGCGGCCTGCATGAGTGCTTCTCAGCACCGAAACTGGCACAGCGCAGCAGCGAGGGCCGGGCTTAGTATTTGGTCGGCGGCGCGTGCGCATGTGACTTTGTCTTCTAAGCGCGGAAAATGGGGCTGATTTTGGTTCGTGTGCTTCCTGTGTTCGATCGATCCGCACTCCTGCCCTTATTTGTTGGCCGGATTGACTTTCTGTGCTTCTCTCAACGGTTTTAGGTACTGTTAGCTTCCGAGCTATATCAAAACTTTAAAACCGCATCTGGAGTTCGGTTTGTCCGGATGCCATGACGTTAACGCATACTTGGACTTTTGGCGTATTCATCCAATTCGCGAGGCCGGGCCATTGTTAACGCGTCCTTGAACGTACTTAAGACGAACCGTTTGTCCTTTTCAACTTGCAAGCGACGTGCTCTCCAACGCGATTGTTTGTGAATCCAAGCCGTTCGATCAGCTAGTTCCTTTTTAGAGGCCGCCGGGCTTTTCGTTCAATGCAATGACTTTCAAGCTTTAGCTAGGGAACTCATGCAATCGAGACGACACAGCACTCGATCACTTTGAAATTATGAAGCCGCGCATGCCGATAGACTCTAAATACAGTGCACCGTCACCCCTAGCATATCAAATAGACCTTAGGCGTTGGAGTGGTTTAGCTCAAAGCTAGGCGTAAGTCAAGCAACTGCGTGTGCAGGTTGGCTTTTTGTACGAGGGACGAACAATGAACCGCCAAGTAAGAATAGTTATATACCAAGGGCAGGGACGAGTCGCTTTAATTGCGGCAAAGCAGGCTGGGCTTCCGCTTGTGACGACCCACTGTGCTTCCTGCATCGCTGGTCTGATGCCGACCACGTTCCTTCCACTTCTTGATCGGGAACACGTCTCATGACGCACATTCTGTTGATCCCCCATCCCACTTTACCGCTTTCGAAATTAACGGGGGCTTGTTTTGAGAAAGTATTTTGAAAGCCAAGATAAGCTAGCTTTTCCACGGGGCTCTGTTGGCCTCAGAATTTACTCGAAAATGCCGCACGGCATGGCATGGCTCAAGAGCGTGGCTCGAGCTAGTGCCCAGCAACGATTGCAGCTGCCCGATGTCATACTGTATGTTCTTCTTTTTACTGAAACTTTATTGGCACTAGCTCGCGAATTATGGGCAGAACCCCCAGACTCAACCTACTGTGGTTTTATGGACTTGAAAGAACTAGAGAAAGCCGAAAACGAAGTCAAGGTGCACGTACTGCCAGGAAAAAGGTGATCCTCCAAATTGCAGCATAAGACGCGGTAAGATCGGGGCAAGGATGATGCGCGGGATTGGGAACGTTACCCAGAGCTAGAGCTGTACCTGTGACTACTACGTCGGAGCCTCCTTGCTTTAGTAATTCTGACGATGGGGTCAAGCCTTCATGAATGCGGGGTATCCGTCATTCGGAATTAATAGCGCGGCAGTTACTCCATCGGCGATTAGCCAGAGCATGCATAGCACGCGGTAACATGCTCATGAAACTTCGCCTGCCCTCGATCCCAGAACGCGCCACGCGCGGCGCGCTAACTACTATGTACTTATTCTCCTTGACCCTGCTCTGTGGCCCTCTTTAGCCGGATACAAAGACCGTCTTACGTGTTTGGCATGTTTTGTGACGTTCAAAGACAAGCTGGATGAGGTGCAAAGTGGGAAGGAACTTAGTTTGTCCACAGGGTCCGTGTTCGTACACGTCGGTACTGAGTGACGCCTCAATCTCTCTGCTTTCTTCAATCCCGCTTTTGTCTTTCACAATTATACTCACAATTTAGAAATTCAAGTCTTGCTATGAAAACCATCTTCTTGTTTGTTGAAACCAGATCCAAGTTGCATGCCCCGCTCAAGACTCGCTCTCGGTCTTGTCTTCTTACGCATTTCCTCGGATCAGCAAGCCTGCCGTCCAATCTTTGGAACCTTGGCTCGGGATCCAAAACCGATCGTTTTTGCGAAACTTCATGACGGTATACATATCTATCTCTGCGTGCACGCCCCAAAGAAAGGCCTTTCAAAACAATTACTCCGTTTCGTGCTGGGCGATGAAGAGCGGTAGGCCCCTGAGAATGTCTCAAGGTGTTCTACATGCTTGCTCCTGACGTTCGCTTGTTGACCGGCCGATAAATCAGGTCACCGCTGTTTGTCGACTTTGTTACGCCTCTGTTTGGATGCATCAATGCTGGCGTAGTTGCCATTGAGGCTTTTCTTTTAAAAAACCATGTGGGGAGGTGACCAGTACTTTGAAAGTGCGCACATCCATCCTGGCAAATACGGGGGTACGATCTAGCTAGGCGCAAGCCGGTTGCGTATAACAAGGCGTCCGCTTCCAAGGTTGTGTGAAAATGGTGGCAGATTGTTAAGTTCGGAAGAATTCCAGACGTGGTCTCAGAAATCCTTCAGGACTTTCAAGACTTCAGAAATTGGAAACAAAAACTAGCGCCCACTTTGATTGGTTTTCGGAATGAACCGTTCTCACTGTTGCTATACCTTCTACGTATAGCTTGTGCGCATGACCTACAGCATGACCTAGATCATGCACCAGAACATAGTTCTATGCACCGTCTCGATGCTTTTGGTCTAGGAACGGTTACTATCTTGGGCGCAAGCCGTATCCTGGCTGAATCTCATGATCGAGCTAGGCGCCTGTAAGAGCTGGCCGCCCTTCTTCTGCATATCATGTAGCAACGTTTCGAGACAAGGATGAGGCGCTTGTACCACAGGGAATCGTACTCCAAGCTCGCTAAGCTCGTCGAAGTGCATCTGATGCTTTCGTCCTTGACCAGACCCACCGGGACCGATCCGTTCGCCGCTGCATACATAACCTGGGCAGCGCGGTGGCGGGCTTATCTGGAAAGAAAGTCACTCGCTGTTTTTGGTCCAATCCTCGGTAGAAATCCGGGTTGGCATTTGTGAAACTGCAAGGAACAACCGCGCCAACTGGCGACGAAGTGCGAAGTGAGACGTGCTCGCGCCGAGGAAACGCGAGATATTTCTTGGATTCGTCTGATGCCAGGCTTCTTCCTTGATTCATGACCAAGAGAGCGTCCGTTTGATCTCCACAAAGATGCTTTTAGTGTAGATAAAGTGTGAAGCTCCTTCAGCTCGTCAAATGTTGGTACGCGCTAAAATCGATGGCGGCGAAACGCTCTGCCTGGGACGATGCAGAGGCGCATTATGATTGTGAGTGAGGACCAAAAGTTTCTCGTGGAAGGTTTGCCCATCCCACTGATGGCCCCCAGACGACCCCATTCGGCAAAGATATCGCTCATGCTAGGAGCAGCGCCCGGATGTTGAGCATTCCTTTTCCAAGTTGTTGCATTCTTACTGGTTTGAGAACCTCGCTGAAAAAACTCGGCCGTCATCTTTTCATGTCATCGGCTTCTGCAGCAATGGGCTCTATATAATCTGGCTTCACATACCAACATGAATGCTGCAGTGCTCGAGCCTTTTGTCTTCGTGTACGGTGCCTTTAATCGGCTTTACAAGGAGGCAAGGATGCTTGTCGAGGCGCTTTAAGAGAGTGCGCTTTTTCCCGGTCGGGCAACAGTGCTCAAATTGATCGATGCCTTTCACCAAGATGAACTTCTCTTGTGGCCAAGAGATACCAGATTCGGTTTAT